TTTTAAGGTTCGTGTTGGTTTGCCTGTCACTCATCAATGTTAGCTATGGATCTCTGTCCCAATGTGTTCAGTCGACGAAGATATCTCGAGTCCCGAGTGTATGTTTTTCATTACGGACCAAGGCTGAGTTCTTGCCACACTCTTTTTCTTGTGGTCCTACGTATTCAAATTGGTTGCTGACTATTTGTAACCCCGCCACTTTGCAACCGGTTACAGGTAGTCTCTACATCTTCCAAGCTCTGACAAACGTCGCTTATTTTTCATAACGTATTTTGCTATAGTGAAATCTGAATCGTTCCCCTGCTCTTCAAATCTACATTATCTCGTCTTCCATCTCTTATATTTGCGATTTCATTCATTACTGAATCAAGCCAAATCTGAGCTTCCTATCATCGGCATTACTGTGAAATGCTGCTGAGTATTCTTGTGCTTGTGGTCACAAACCATAACCTTAAACACATGCTTTTGATTCACTTGCTTAAGTTTTTGTGTAAATGTCAATAGGCAAAGTCATCTCCTCTCCGTGGCATTGGTGGAGCCAACTGATTTGTCTTGCGGGACCCACAGTCTGTGATGCCCTTGGCCTTCTTCTCGAGGTACCACTTAACTTACCCAGCGAGGCCATCATCAACCGTTGGCTCAGTGAGCCAGTCTGTTGTCTCAGTCTTTCCACTGACCTTTTTACCACAAACAGTAAGGGTTATCCAGTCTTGTCTCAAGCCCATCAAAAGGTTCTCCGTCAGTTTTTAAAGGCGAGTTAAACTTCAAGTTGAAATCTATTGTACTAAACGAGTTTTTGTACGTAGTCTTATTGAAGTCCTTAAATGTAACTTGTAGCATCGCGCCTGGGATCGTAATAGGAACCGGCTACAGCTTTCTTCAATATTTAGTGTTTATTTCTGGCCCCGACTTGTCAAGGCTATTTACAAATCTAATATTTTGTTTTATTACTCAAGACAATGTATGTAGCGAACCTGCTGACAAGAAAATATGATGCAATCAAGTGTTACTTTTTTCTGTAGAAGTTACCTCACTTACTAGTTTGAGTGAGATCAAAAGCTCATATACCGTTATCAATGGAAGGATGTTCGTGGCACCTCACAGTTGACAATTTAGAGCGTAATGTCTCGTGCTCTCAACTTACCCATTTGGCCGTTTTCTCGTCCTAGATTAATTCCCAAGTTTTGATTACGGGTCAAAGTCACCATGAACGTGGCCTTGCCGTGTATCAACAATATGTAAACTGGATCTGGAAGTGCACTGTTGAAGGAAAGTCTCTTTATGAGAAGCACTCAAGGGGTCTCGAGGATCAGCTTCAGGTAACATTACCCTATTCTTGAGGCACGTTTGCACGTGGGTCTTCCCCGTCAATTTGATTTCAGTAGATATTATGGGTCCATTTCACTTCTTCCATTATGTCCAACATAGTATTTTACACATTTTTAGGAACCTCTTCAGCCACTTCAAGACAACCTTTCTTCTGCCACCTATGGCGTTTTTGAAATGGATCCGTACAAATACAAGGCCTACGAGGAAGTATGTGTTGTGATTATTTCATTTACGTTGGAAACGCTCTGTGTTTTAATAACCTGATACAAGTGGGATTTATTATGTTTCGTTCAAAAGGTTTTCTTAATTACTGTTCAGGCTATCTATCTAGCGCTACTAGATCGCTCTGGTAACAGTAAATCGTCTCAGTGCGCAAACATTCCGGTCGTGGATGCTGCTACGTCAGTGCAAATTGATTTTGAAGACCATATCGCTGAGAAACAGGTGAGTTGAGGCACAAGTTTGCAACTACAAACTCATGCTTTGTCAATCCATTTTCGTTTTTAACTTACTAGCTACCTAATCTTATACCATTAATTAGTCCCCTGAATTATTTTGCTCCTTTCATTTTGAGTAGCAGCAGCCCTTATCGCTGTTGTAAATAAAATGATATAGCTGACATTAGCCTGTAAAGACAATTTCCACCACGTAAATAGAGTTTACTCGTAAATAAGACAACATCCTCTTCAGGGGTGCAAAATTCGGTGTTATTTCTTTACTTGAAGTCATTTATTTAGGTATCCATAGGTCCTCGTAACCATGCCAAAAACGAAATGTAAGTACTCGTAAACAGGTTGACTAATCTACCATTCTTAGAATTTCCAACCTTTTTGTAAACGTTGTTTTCAATACAATTCAGCGTTCTTTGTTAAAAGCACATGTTTAATCTTGAAACTATTGTTCACAGTATTTGTAGATGAAAGTTAGTGCGAGTTGAAGTTCAGGCATGATTGAAATATTCCGCATATCCAATTTGATTGGTTCCACGAATTCGCTGCCTTAGCCTTTAAGTTGCAAAACATAGAGGTGTTGGGGAACCGCTTGTCGTAAAATGTATTTAGGGACCAGTAAATTGCACGTCAACCAACGTTCTGCGCAGATCCCAATTTGGTTGAATTAAGGTCACCCTCACACTCCCCAAGAATCGGTGATTTAGAATACTTAATGCCCATCGAAATCACAAAGTCATTGTGATGTTTAAATTCAAGTTCCTGTCAGGTTATCTACTTAGGGTATTGCAAACTCAAACGACCAAGTTAAGGGTTGGTTTTCAGGTTGCTAAACCTGACTTGGGGCAATCTTTGCAGCACCAGGATATTTAGGTAGTCAAAATATTTCAACCACTACTTTTCTTCAGTTTGTTTTATACACTGAAAAGAGCTTATATGCAAATTTCGGCGAGTTGAGAATGTACTAACGCAGTGAGGTTATCGATGGTGAATGTAAGAAGTTAAATCTATTGTTATATTTTATTGTTATTGAGTTTAGATGTTCTTAATTTACACATACAATCTGAGAAATTACTCAAGTTTTGCCGTTCGTTCAGGTTGTTTAGTTACATTGAACTTTCTTCTCCATTATTAGGTGATTACATTCATGGTTTCGACCTCAATCCTGGATAATGGGCACCATAAAACAATTTATAATTCTTATGAGTGTGTGTATCAAATACCTTTTCAATCATTGGTCATTTGAACTGTTACTTCACATATTTCTAATCTCAGCAAGATTGGATACATATTAGCGTACACTAAATTCCCGTCTCTTGCTTTCGGTATTTTCACGTCTTCTTTACTGTAACCTTCAACCTTTGCAGTACCTTAAAGAAAACTTGTTGCACCTTGCGAGTTTTTCGTTCATTTCAATAAAATCAATTTACTACTCTTCGAAAATTCAGTTGTTTAGTGGTCAGGACTTTTTGAAAAGTCGGCATTCTTGCTTCACTTTTTCCCAATGTCGTTCTATTCCTGACCTCTGTCAAGCGGATTTATTCACGCACCGGATCTCTATTTCCCCGTATTTTTCCCACAGATTGTCTACATTCTAGGCGCCGGACAAGGTCCTTTCGTTGACGCTAGTTTGCAGGCCAGCAAGCGTTCTGGATGTCCGATTAGGATCTATGTCATCGAGAAGAATCCCAACGCTCTGCTCACACTTAAGGTGAGTTTTTCATGATCTCTTCAATTCTGGAAATCAACGAAAGTGGCACTGTTAATGGTTTAAGCTCTTGAGTTGTATTAAATAGAAGCTAATTCCAGCTAAAACTCCGGTCACATTACAATGCGAGCTCCATGTTCTTTCCAAGTCCCTCATTATAGTCAATACATAAACAAATTACGAAATATATCCATGGTCACTAAATAGCGTGCTCCGATGCGAGTTTACGTAGGCTTCGGAGAACCTGAGCTACATTAGTTGAGAATATGTTGAAAGACTTCAGTTTAGATTTGGTATCTGTGCTAGTATTTGGACACCTTGAAGTCTTGAGTGAAAGAACTGTCTTTTTATTTTCAGTTCTAAAAAAAGTAAACGTATTTTAGAAATTAGGTTGAATTGATCGAAAACCCTTTCCCTTAACCATTTGCTCGATCGCATTATTGTTACTACAGTACGCTTGACTGGTACCATTGCACACATATATTATCTGAGAACTAATACAATTATTCATTGGTGAACGCTGTACCTCTCGATTTCGTTGACACATACATGCCTAAGTGAAAAGTGCTTTTTACCGTCTGAGCCGAAGGGCAGGGCATCGCCCACTGCGCCCGCTTCCTTGCTTTGGGCGACCCCAATAGTAAGGCGATAAAAAAATAGCACATTTAAGAAATGGAGCTGATCCAATGGGAGGAATTAGTGTGTACAGCCGATTCGAAGGTTTACTAAATACAAATTGCTAGTAATGCACAAACATTTTAGAGAATGCTGATGCTTCTAACGGGGTCTTTAGGAATATAGTGTCCATGGATCGGAATATTTGGCTGTGCCCTCTTTATATTAAAGACAATTTTTGGCTGTTAGAGGGGAGGGAGAGTTTCAATGAGTCGCCAAAGTTTGTGCGCCTTATTCTATCGATGTTTTCACAATTTTACGCAAAGTTACGTTTTTGCACTTAATTATGCCTCTGTTTTAATATCAGATATTTAAGAAAAGTAATGCTGACCTTTGACATGTCAACTTGTGCCTACTACATGCAATCACATTATAGAGGCTTTTACTTTACGTCCATGTGAACTAGATTTGCTTTATCACCCTCAAATGTCGGTCACGTCATCCGTTTGCTTTCTTTAATAACCGGATGTTTTAAATGAAAACGCGGATGTTATACGCTTATCAATTCTGTCGCATCCTGTCGCGTACTTGAATTGGTGGAACAGTATAGATCAATAACTACTCATACTTCATCATTCTCTCTGTAGCGACGCATTCAGACGGATTGGCAAGGAAAGGATGTCCACCTTGTACCGGGCGATATGCGCCAATTACCCCATCCCCCACTGGAGAAGGCAGACATCTTTGTCAGCGAGCTGCTGGGCTCCTTCGGGGACAATGAACTCAGCCCCGAATGCCTTGATGGCGCTCAACACATGCTCAAAGGTGCCACATCTGTTGCCTTTTTTATTTCATGAGACTAACGTATTTTTTTCTATCTGGTGCCAGAGGTGCTTATTTTTTCGGCGGGCTTTCTTTGAAATCCTGGCCAAATATTAATCGAATGAGCAAGGTCAACCAAATCTTTTTGAGACTCCTTAAAATCTGCAATTTAATTTTATTTGCAGACGATGGAATCAGTATACCTGCCTCCTACACATCTTACGTGGCTCCCCTTCAGTCTCTGCGTATCCACTTGGAGGCCTCGCGGTGTGGTGGCGGTGTAGGCAGCGTCGTTTTGTAACTTATACCCACTTCTTGCACATGATGTTATTGTGTTTATCCTTTTAGGTGAGGGGTCCGGATCGAATACAGAAGCAGTTAGAAACGCCCTATGTCATCAGACTTTCCAATTTCCAGTTATTAGCTCCTCCGGAGAGGGCATTCACTTTCAAGCATCCGCGAAGTGGTACGTTTTCCTCTCACGTAAAGTAGTCCCAGCTGGTATGCACACAAATGATGAAGTAGTAGAGTGTTCACTTTATCTGGTAACTAAGCAAATGTGAACAATCCCAAATTACTGAATAAGCAGTATAGGCTGCATATCTATTCAGTGATAACTTTGACCGCATAACCCTCAACATAAACCTGCCAACAACTGACAACACCAATGCAACTTGTCAGCAGAAGCCCACGCAAGCTATTTCATGATTGCTTTCTTTTTACTGTCTAAGGGAACTGAGGATGTTTGTCTTCAAGCACGGCAATGCATCTGGATATGAAACTTCCAACCACCCATATTAGCCGCACGTTTTGTGGAAACACCTAGTTTCTTGTAGTAAGACTTATCGGAAGCCAAAATGTCCCATTTTCGCCTACTCACTTTGCCCATAGCCAAACTCACGCTCAGAGCACAGGTACGCCAATTCGCTAACGCATGCCCCAGCTACCCAATGTCAGGACAAAAACAGGACCTCATGCCGAGAACTTTTACCGTCCCAGTCTAAGGCTGAGTAATCTTGACATGATGGACTCTCACGGCTGTCAATATGAGGTAGAAATAGGCCACACGATTAGTGGAATCGTAGAATTGCTGTGGTAGAGGCAACCGTGAGGAGAAAATGGGGCAAACAGAGCTGTTGCCAATCTCAGTCCTATAAAGAAAACCTGCGTTCGGGTATGCCGATTTCCCCAAAACTTAAATGCCGTCGTGTTCTGACAGCGACAGATTAGTAACTTACTCGTATTCTTAAATTAAGACTCACTTTTTTTGGAACGACCATGCTTCTAGCACATTTTTTTGCGTTGAACCGTCGTTTATTGAATAGATGGAGGTTTCTTTTCACATCAAAGTATGTCTAAATCGTGTTATTGCTGGCCTGATTCCCTATTTACTCTAGACCTCAGCACGAAGCCTAACACCCGCTACTGCTGCTTAACTTTCACTCCCACTGAAGATGGAACAATTCATGGATTCGCCGGGTACTTTGATTCAGTACTTTATGGCAAAATTACATTGAGTAAGCGCCGCTGCCTTTCAGTTAAATTTTTAAGATATTCCTTCGGCTAGCTAATTGTCTTAACATCACGGCTATTCTGTCGTGCAATTAACGCCCATATATTTCTTTGGAAAACCTTTTTTCCGTGTCTGCAGTAGTTCATTTCAGTGCCGACTCAACAAACTGGCTGAGGTACCGTGGTTTCGCTCCACCGTGATTATGGAGGCATATGGTTTCTTCATGGCTAATAGTTATTGTCGGTAATTGTACGGGTCTGATCTTAGCATAATCAAAGGTGGTACACCGTACATCAGCAATGCAGTAGCGCTGCTTTTCGTAGTTGTAGACTCAACAGATAACGCATGCGAATCCATGGACTCCTTAAGAGGGTTCGAAGTTTTGTGTGAATGACTGAACTTCTCGAAGTTCAATTTTTACGAAGTACACTTTGTGCGCGTGCACCCAATTTGCGCACAGGATATCACGTTATACCGCGGTTGAAATTCGAACAGTTCTAGGCCCTTTATTTACCTAGACTTCTAACTAAATGGTCTTTATTATAATATGAAATTAGCCTCGGTTGGCTTCTGTAATGCATAATTTTTAGCCCACGTTCAAGCAATCCACGTTACTAGACCACCGTTGTATGTGGTCATCCCCAACTTAGTGCCAATGGATTGTTCGAATTAGCACCTTACGACTCCGTTTGTTCACTAAACCGCTTTTTTGCAAATAATTCGATTGCACTCCACTTTAGGCATCCATCCGCAGCGCCATAGTCTCAACATGCTCTCGTGGTTTCCTATGGTTTTCCCTCTGACATCTGCGGTGCAAGTTCGCGCATTGCAGAAGATCACCTTTCACATCTGGCGGTGTGCATCAGCGCGAAACGTTTGGTATGAATGGGCCATCACCGAACCCGCCGTCTCTATGATTCACAATTCAGCCGGCTCCGCGTACAAAATGGGACTTTGATTACATTTTTACCGTTTTTATGGACAACGCATTTACAATACAGGCCTATGATGACCCAGAGTTCGATCGATTACTCCACCAAATTGCTGAGGGAGACTGGGATGGTATATTTTCACTTATATTTAAAAGCGGCAGCCGAAATTAGGCGCTCTAACTTACAGTGAGTGTGGAAATCTATACAGGATGACAGATAAAATGTATAGGCAGACTCGACCATTTAAGGAAAATCATGTGTACAGAATGTTTGCGATACTCTTGTGGTGGTAGCTCTATACAGATGTGTCTTCGGCCTTCATTGTCACACAGGGTTCCGGCTCTGTCGATACCCCCTCTACAACCGATGAGGGATCTTCGACTGGCGGAATGACCCGTGAGACAGACTGACTGCCCTCTGGAGTATTTGCCATTACGAAGGGGTCAAAGGGTTCTTTTTTCATTGAACCTAACGGTCGCTCGGGAATTTTGTCTGGCCCCTCAATTAAAGGCTCAGTATCTCCCTTTGGGTCCCCTTTTCGCTGTAGCTGGGCCGTTACTGCCGCGACCTGCGCTTGATCTCCATGCTCCCATATCCATCGGGCCTGAAACTCGCGGAACTTCTCAGCCGACCTGGACTTTGTGCTTGATTGTTGACAACGATGCTAAAAACCATTAAATCGATGCTATTGAACCTACCTTCTTGGTTCTTATGAAAATTCCATACGATCCAACCGACCAATTAATCTTGTAGGCTGTTTTGGGTGCAGAAATGCCGCTCTTCAAAATTTTGCTTGATTGCATACAGTCGCTAGAAAAAGTGTCACGAAACAGCTAAAGCAAGTAAGCATATAATTAGGCTCACCTCTGATCGAGTCAGACTATTCCTAAGCACACGAACCATAACTTCCCAAGTGTCCTTTTCAAGATTTCCTGTGGCAGTTACCTCCCGATCGGTAGCGGCGGCTTCCCTTTGTGGTTCTGCCCCTTCAACGCTCATCTCGCATGTATCTGTAAACTCTGCTACTTGCCTGGGGGTTTCCTCATTCGATTGGACTTGCGGCAAACTGTGCATGAGAACCTGCAACTCCAGATATAGTATCATAAAAGCATCCGTAACTGCTAAAGGCGACAACGACTACGTGAGTGAGTCACTACGTGGAACTGCCTTGTACATGAGTTAGGCTCACCTCTTCTGGCTGTGGGTCACTTGTTTCGACAATTTGTTTCTTTCTCCTCTGCACAGCTTGAAACGTCAGCTTATTAACACAGAGCCGGACGTTGCGATACAAAAACACGGGCCTGACACGAGCTACCAACGCCGCCGAAACTGGTCCAGCTGTCCAACAACCAGGAATGAGGAGATATCGGGCAAGGTAGTCGTACCAATGCCGTACTTGCCTCTCTCCCTCCTCGGCCCGCTTGAGAGCATTTGCTGCTCGTGCCTCCTCAAATGGTGACGGGGGGCGAGCGGATAGGGAAGGAGAAGGGTAAATAGGAGCCATGGCGGATGTTTGATGCGCAGCGAGACATGTAGTAACAATGTGAGTTGGATCGAGGAGACGAATAAGAAGTTTTGAGGCTTGACGTAGCATAACCAGCGTATAACAATTGGGCAGTTGTGAACGAGGTGGAAATGTGGGTTGTGCGCCACCGCTGTTGGTATTAGAAGAACCTCCATTATCATCATTGGAAGCCGCTGCTGCGGTATCGAGGCATGCAGCGAAAGCTGCCTGTTGGTAGCGAGCTTCGTCTTTCAGTCTAGCGTAACGTGTCCTCAGTGGGCCACAAATGCCATTGATGCTACAAGTGAGATAAAGTTTATTTGAAGCAGGTCTACGAAACAAAAATACAATGCAAAGGTGATCCACTTTATCTACGTTAATTAGTGTTAATTAACCAGCCACACAAACTGCTTAGGGTGGGTAAATCGTGCTTGGCTATTCTATATGGCATACGAAGTAGGGTCAGCAGAAGCATGAATCCGCATGGAAACAGCACACAGCGATTTCCTTAGGTGTAGGTAATGAACGACGCTTACGCGGGTGAGAAAGTTTCTTCTCCATTCTCCACAGTGGTGGAGTCACTGCGTGAACGACCACCGGGGCTCCGAAAGTGACAGCGGAAGAGGGAAGTTAGACGATGACTCAACTCGTCCCCACTGGCTAACACGTGAAGCTGCCGAACAAGGTTTGTAATTAGGCGATCCATCGTAAACCACGGATAAGCGTATATGCCAAACATGTCACGAAGGCGGTCCTCATAAGTGTGTACGTCCTCACAGCCGTCCAAGAGATCTTTAACTAACTGAAGTGCCATGGCATAGTGCTCTCTTGGTTCGCTGTGACCTGGAAAAAACCGAGACATTACGGAGATTTAATAATTGCTAAAATCGATGACCATAGTGGAACTCTTAAACTTATTTTACCTGCTTGCTTGTGATTCATAGATGGAGAATTCAATGTGCAAGTACGCTGGGATATAGTGTGGGAGGATATTGATAGAGCAGCAGTTCGTGGTTTAGTTTTAGGCAGAAAATTTTGAAAGTGATCCGGGAAATGCAATTTTAGATAACTGATCTTAGGTTATGCTAAGGGATTTCACTTCTCAATTTCATTATAGCCTCCATTGGACGAAAATGGAACGCAGACAACGTTTGTGGGAACGGAACACATCGCGACCGAACATCTGTGACATCACCAAAACGATGGGAAATATGGAAAAAAGAAAGACTAAAGAGAATAGATACACGTTTGCTTTCTTGACATAAGAACTAATTAGGTGACCTTTAAAACCAACAGCGAACAGATATTGAAGACGGTTCCAAATGCTAAAATGATAAGAGAGAACACCAGTTTACTACCCGTTTCAGGGCGTTATGAGTTGTCTTAGATGAATGAGATGGAGATCCGAAACAAAAGTGGGACATTGTACGTACGTGAGCTTAACGTCCATCTTATTAATAGCTTCATAGTCCCGAAGCAGTGTCAAATTTCTTTTACGGAGCTCAACTCTTGTCAACATAAACATCCATGTTGACAGCAGTTAAAGAGTTTACCACAAAACGATGGGACAAATAGAGTCGATCTTAATCCTAAAAGATCTCAGAACTAACTAGTTAAAAAACAGCGGTTCGCGGGGGCGAAAATAATAAAAAAGATTGCAGACAAACCTTTCTTCCGCAGCCTCAAAACATCTGAGACTTGAATGTGACTTTTTCCATTCTCAAGGTCGTACTCCTGTTGCAAAAGGTGAGCTCTAGCGCGTAACTGAGATAGTCGAGTCAGCAAAAGGTGGTGAAGCCGAAGAAAGGCGTACCAGTGGTTGTTTCCATTTAGCACGCAATAATATTCCTCGGCAGGCACTTTCGGTGATACCTCGATTGGATATTGAACGCTTGACAACCCTAGTGTGTTCTCCTGGTGACTGGTGTTGTCCAAGCTTGTGCTCAATGCTTTGCGCTTCATGGGAAAAATGGCATTTCAGGATAAACGAAATGTACCATCAATCTAACTTCAATACAAACATCGGAACGTCCTAGAGAATATGAGTGCAGAATTCATGCAGGATTCGACTGATTTTCCGTCAATGTCATTTTTATTCGTCATGTTGGACAGCGACTCAGTTGTGACATTGTGTTATTCAACCACCGATTCGGTCAATCATTCTTCTTTGGAAGACCAATTCCAATAATTTAACAATTTAGAGGCTCTTTTTAGACTTTGCTTACAACTACTGCAGTATATATGGAAAACTCTGATCAGTACGCCGTTGAGAAAATAACTCTGAATAGCAGTTGAATTTGAGAATTTGACAAGATAACAGAACAAGAACCACACTGTGTGAAATTACTAAACGATTGATCCGATTCTTTTTATCAATATCAATATATCGGACACAAAACAAATATTCCCTCTCAATCAGTCTAACACACATCAGTCCACCACTTTCAAGCCGTTCACATGAACTTTCACGTTTAGTAGAAGGTCTCAGCTGCTCGCTATTGACCAGGAGTTGCACCGCTAACAACATTGCTTCACGAGATTAATTATTGGCTTTGACGTTAAACTGTATAGTGGTGAATCTCAAAACCAAGCTGACGTGAGACTTACTTCCCACGCGTTTCTACAGTTTATTCGATTCAATTAATGCACAATGGCTACGTATCAACTAAATCTCCCACTACGCCACAACTGATAAATTGCAAAATGAGTAACAACTCTTTCCATCAAACAACAACGTCAAATGAGACCAATGAGTCTTTAGATAAATTCAGTAAACAGGTTATATGATTATTAAAAAAAACGTATTAACCACATTCATCCTTGAATCAACAGAGCCAAGTAAAAAGTGATGATAATTGGTTAAGTTTGTAACACATTTTGTAATCGACATCAGGCTTCGCAACTAACCAATTTGGAAACTGAACCAGGCAGAGAAACTGTGCTAAAATTAGTATTACTCGTACTTTAGATCGTTTTTTCATTTTCATTTCTGCACGGTCTGAAGACATCGGCGAGGTTTCATCGAGACCATTGGATTGCTCCTGCGACTTCACATTCCGATGATAATGTCGTGTTCTCCGTAGTTGCCTGGAGGACCCGTTACTGGTGGACTCCGCAGCACCCACCATGGTCTCACTGTCACCAGTCTCACTAGGGTCATTGTCACTACCTCCAACAATTTCCTCGTCATTGTCAATACATTCTTCTTCCTCAACCTCGTCGTCGGACATGGGAAAACGTTCCTGCATTAAGAAGTCTTGCAAAACGGCCCTCACCTTGTTGAATGAATAGAAATACGTGATAATTAGCAACCCGCACTAAGGTTTACGATCGTTATACATAGTAAGTTGATTAATTTAAACCTATTGAAAAGTCAAAAAGCTATCAAGCACATGAATGAACAAACATTTGATTAAACCTTGTGTCGTCAGTTGAAGTACCCCAATTAGGACCGTTTAACGAGTGCATACGAGCGACGCGATTTGCGTTTAGCAATCATTCCTGGTGTAGAAAAATGTTGGCTTGGATTTTGTTGTAGTGAATTCTTATTGGCAGCTCGGCTTTGCTGATGTTTTCGCAGTGGTCAAGCTTACTGTTTAATCCTGGTGATCGGCCATCTTGCATTATTTCCTCCTGATTTTACCACCAGAAATTAAAATAATGTGTTGACTGCAGACTTAAAATCTCGAATCTGTTACTCTAAACGCCTTTTTCTGAGGTTACAGAAAAGCTTTTCGACAAGCCTGACTCCTGCTGCGTCGTGTAGGATGGTGTGTAATTAGCATCAATGCAATATAAGTATTGAAGATGCATAATTTGTATACGTCCTCTCAACATAGTCAATTTACGCGGACAAAAGTAAGCCAGCAAAATACTATGAGCTTGAAGTAAATAAGACCTTAAAATATGGGACATTATCCACTCACCAGGAACTTCATAGTACGCTTGTCCTCTTTGCTTGTATTCGATTGCCTTTTGACATGATGTATGATCAAAGAAGCGACATCCTGAAGCAGCGAGGCGCATGTCTCGGGAGGAGGATACTCGAGTGTTAAATGCATGCCCCCGTCGTCACCCACTCCTTCAAACACATGGCTCAGAGCCGAACCAAGTGTAGCTGGACAGACTGAACTGGTAGTAGACTGACATGAAGTCAAGCATTTGGCTATCATTGAACCCACAACATCTCCAGAGGCTGGTTCTGATGAAAGAGACTAAAAAACACGACGAAGTAGGTGCTTCAAAATTACGAGGTCAAATTTAGTAGCCGCGAGAAAAGCATTATTAAAGTCTAGCCAACTAGATGACCGTGTTAACCCAGAAGACTTACGTTCTCGCCACGCGCAATATTTTCGATATGATTAACGACCGTTTTCGGCCGAATGAAAGCATTGTCGCGTTGTTTAAAATTTGTACCCTGGTGATCGAGGGATCGGAGGTAGTTCTTAGAATCTTGGTCAGACCAGAATTGTTGGAATTTTCGCACAGCCTCCCGCCACTCAGTATCCTTCTGATGCATACGCTGAATGACAATTGGTACCACCGAGCTTGGGCACGTTTTAAGTCCATATATAACATCTCCTGCCTTGTCTCCATACACTCTGAATCAATAAAAACACTTTGAGGGAAAACTGCACGACTTGGTTTGAACTAATTCTTAGTTCCATCTTGATGCTACCTGACTTAAAACATGTAGCTATTTGAACCAGTGACTTCGGCTAACGGCAGCTTTATTAGTGACGGGTTGGCTCAGTATACTGTATTTTGAGTCGAATAAATTTCAGAACAATGTTTTAAGGCACTATTAAATATGTAAGGATGACATTCAGACGCAACCGGTATTCTGTTAGAATACAAGTCCGTGAAGACAAAAAGGCCCAAAATAGGTTAAAACAAGTTTTTTTGGGTAAAATGCAAGAGGCCCCAACCAAAATATTATGCGAAGGCAATGCTGGAATAAACTTTAAGTTCATTCATTAGAAGTAGCTCCCTTTTTAGAAAAGCAGAAAATGATAGTGTTGGGGAACAGAATCATATCGCAGTAAAATTATGAGCAACTCACCATGCGTTTTAACAAGAATTTTACACACAGCTAATTGTAACCATTTCACCATTTAAATGTTAATAATTGATTTCGGCAATATTTAAGGCGAGGTCAGAAATAGTTATTGACCAACTGGGATTAGGAGTTGCGTCACACAGACGTGGCCAATGGTAGTTTTTGTCTACGTGATGCAAAAAACAATTCAGTTGCCCACATTGGTCAAGCTCAGGCTTGTGCTCCACCGAACCAAAAATGTTAAACGTGAAGGCCAAATATACATGGATGCATTGATGTGGTAAGAAACCACCCATTTGTTAAGTACGATGGCGGACATTGGCCATTAAGGTCAACAGAATTCAAAGCAAACGTGGCTTAACACTAGGGAAATATTACTAAATGTAAATCAAAAGTGAGATTTTTGTTAATTTATATTTATTATAAAAAAAGGTCACCTCACCTATGAATGGCCTTCCTCATCAAAATTGCCGATGTTCCACCCAAATAATCATCGAGTTTGTAGTTTTGAAGCTCATCTCTTCCCATTCGTTCAAGACGACGTCGAACAACAATTAAATTTTGTAAGGCAGCCCGATTAAGCTCCATTACCATGTCTGCCTCGTACCTTTCGTCTTCAGTGTGATACATATTCTCTTCATATTGGTTCTTTTTAGACGATACAAATTGCGAATCCTCGGATGTTAGAGAGGAAAAGCTAATGTAGGTGTCGTTGAGCACAGAGCGGGCAATTGAACTTTTTAAACGTCCTGAACACTTAGGTTGAGGAAAATCTGACGGCAGAGCACGATAACTGGCTCCACAAGTGCGCAATTTATTAAAGTCTAGATCCAAGCGCTTCTGGGAGACTTCACTGACAAGTGCAACCATATCGGCACCTGTTAGAGGATGGACACTATTTCCGCCCGTCGTTGCAGCGGCGACATCGGAAAGAGAGGGGCTGGTAATTGAACTGCTGGGTGGATATCGCTTATTTTCTTCCTCCTGTACACCACCTACCGAGGTCAAGGCCGATTCTCGATCTGGAGTCCGTGCAGCGGTTTCATCAAAGTGGGAATCAGATTGAAGACCACTAAATAAATCGCAGAACTGTCTTGACAATTCAGGATGCCGCTGAAGTATTAGTTTCGCGGTTTCAATCAACTGTTTTTCATTGATGAGCTTGCGGTTGAAAAGACTAATATTCTGTAGCAATGATTGGTAAGAACGAGTACCATTAATACCTTCAGCGTCCAGTACGTTGCTGATCTACGGAAACGGTTAAGATGTAATTTATAAACATACCTTCTGCAACAAGAGTGCGTCAGATCCAGACACACCGCCCCCAATATCCGACAAACTCACATCTCGAAAAGCGTGGCGTGGCTTTTTGGTAGGTATTGAATCACCCTGTGAATAACTTGGTACGACTGAAGAGCATGAAGGAACCACCCGTTTGAGCTTTTTAGACTCGGTAGTTCCCATGGATTCTGAGGGGCTACGGTGCCAAGAGGCACCATTATCAGGTGGGAGACCAGAGCTATTGGCGGAAAATCGATTGTGAATCGCAGAAGATAGTTCGCTCACCGAACAGTACTGTGAATTCCGTATTGCTGCAGGATCGTGCTATACAAATTGTAACGAATCATCCACAAATTTACCATATCTGATGCTACACCGGTTGATTCGGGAAGAAATCTACTGAACTCTTGTAGTAAATCCTCATGACCCTGAAGCAACTTAGCAACATCTTGATAAACCTGCAATTCGGCTTGCTTGCGGTGATTTGGGTCGGTGTGATCTTGTTCACGTTGATACCATTGCAAAATTTCAAGAAAGCATTTATAAACATCAGGCTTCGCTTGGAACCGATTCTAACAGAACTCATTTTTTTAATCATGACTTACCTTGACCTTATTTACATAAATGATGGCGTGGTTGAACGACTGAGCGTTGTGCTGCTGTACATTAGGAACGTAAGGCTGCTGTTGTTGAGATGACTGGAGGGCTGAAGGGTAAACTACTTGACCCTCAATAACAGGTTGAGTATTAGGAACAGATAGGCTATGGTAACTTTGCTGTTGCGTATCCGTTGTAGTTAAGTGTGAGCGCAGGACAGGTGGCTGATTGGACGGATTACTATAGAAGGGAGAGGGCTCCGTGGACTGCGAAACCGATTGGTAAGTCAAAGCAGATGATGAAGTAGATGGATTTACATCTTGGGATAAGGCATCGGACTGACGAAATGCAGAGAACGAAGGGAGTTTGCCGGGAGAGACATCTGTTGAGTAAGTCTGACCAACAGCCGGAAGTGTCACTCCTGTTGGTCGTGAACACGATACAGGGCTGTCCATTCGATATCCTTGAGGAATGAATGTGTTAAAACCAACAATAAGGTCCTGATGACCTTCGAATAGCTCCCTCACGCGACGGATAACAACATCTGTACCAATTCTAAATGATACACATCGTTTAGTAAAAAATTACTTACGTTTGTGCTTTAAACTGGCGCATTACATCCAAGAAATCAGTATAGATTTCATTCTGGCTAGAAAATCTGGCCTTCACTTGGTCGAGATAAGACAATGCATCAGCAACTTTAGGTCGATACATGAAATGTGATTGAGTTTACTAAAACAGGTATCAAAATATAAGCTGTGCAATTCTAATGGAATATTCTTTTGAAGTGATTACTTGGAACCTTTAACTGCTGGCTATGCTGCAATTTTTGGATAAATGTCGAACTAAATTTTTACTCTGAGTTATGTGATTATGCTTAGGAAAAATATTAGACGCTCACAAGTAGAATTCAAAAACATGGAAAACTTCCCTACAGAATCTTGAGTAGAGTAAAATGCAAAGTGAACCGTGCATCAGATGATTTACCATTTCATAATAAGCAATTTGAGAGATGACCCTACGCAGGGCTACCTGCCTTTAGGCTATTTGCTACAGAGAAATGGTGCCGGAGACCGGAGCCAGGCACCACACTTTAATTCTTTAGTATATCACACATGCTATTTTTATAACGCAAATGAGTGTAACCCAATAGGGCAGGAAGAACTAATAATCTTCAGAAACAAAAATTTCGTCAAACAAGACCAACCAATTTACTTCCTAAAAACACAGTGGGCCAAGCGAAAGTCATAATTTGATATCACTCATAGAGAATAAGACTAACTTCACTAGAAAATGTAACAAGAAATCAGCACGTATCATGGTTGTAAGACATGGTAAGTACTAGAACGAATGGACAAGCACCAACCATTGACAGAAAAACTCCAGTTTTTAACTCAGATTACACATTAGGCCCAAAAAAGTCTGTTCATTTACAATGCCAAATACAAAAAGACGGGACCAAGCAGTAATCAGTGCGATTAAACATGCGCGATAGACGACGAGCACAAGCCCGGATTAAGCTTAAATCCAACAAGACCAAAAAATTCTACACCATCAAGAAAAACATGAATGACTACAACGAAAAGCTAAACTCACAGAAAACAAACCAACTAGCCAAGCAACAAAACTAAACTGGCGCCCGGATTATCGCAATAGACCTCATTTAAAGAAACAGCCCCTAAAAACAGACAAATAAAAGGTCATGATAAAGCATTTGTCTAACATGCTTAATTTTACTTATTACAATTTCTAGCCATGTCATTTCGCAAAGATGAAATGTCTAGCACGAGTAGCCCACCTTGCTCTGGAAAATTCCCATACGAGATTATAATTACCCAGTTACCAGAATTTCCATTAAGTAAAAATACATGTTTGTTTTTTAAATAGGTTTGTGTAAGATATTTTCAAGGAGCAGCACTATACTTTTAATAAGTGTCTGATAGGTAAAATGTAGTCAAACTTATTGGAGTACAAAATTTAAAAACAACTTCGTTATAAAGCCGGACATAAAATACAAATCTGGCAAATAGTAATAGGCCCCTTAGGGCGTTTACTGTTGGACGTGTATTATCCTAAGAAGGTTACAACAATCATCGAGCTTTGCCCAAATCTTATTTTTCCAGAATTTCCTCTACAACGTATAACATCTTTCTTTATTAATGCTTTCACAGTCCTTTATAGCTCCCAGTGGCATTCCTGGGCAAAGTTGCAGTAAGCATGTTAGACGAGTTTCGCGGTCGTTTGTTCTACACTCAACAGCAAAATGGTATTGCCTAAATAGGCGTGATATTATTATGGATCACCATTCAAATTTCCTAATCTCAGTCAATTGTAACTGTGCCAGATTACACTCAACTTCTGCTGATGTCTTTTCACGTTGTGCTCCACTTATGCTTCTTTCTTGTTACAGCCTGTGCAGTTCAATGGGTTTTTTTAAATTTTATCAGGTGCAAATTGGCGATCTTCAGTTCCAAGCGATATTGATCAAGAACTGTGTTCATCGTTTCTCCCAATGCCTTACAATTTTTTTCGAAATCCCTCTTCGTAAAAACTGCGTGGTTTCGCTTATAACAAAGCCATTGAGTACTTTTTAACGTGCGGAAAACTTATACCAAAGTTTTGACGCTTATTCGAATTGCCTTAAGTGGCGAAAAGGAACTAGAAGATCAACATTTCGGCACCTAAAAACCTCTTCAGTGGTAATGGGGGGAATATTAATAACTCGTAGTGAATCGGGGTAAGTCATGTTCACCTGCCCTGTCGCAACATGCTCTAATTCACTGCCCCTTTTCACGGCGTGCTCGTCAGTCGCGCGTGGCCGCCTGCTCATTCACCCCGCCGGTACTCGCTTTATCAATCTGACCATTCAGACGTTCGTAACTTGACTAGTCCACCCAACTCCGTTGAACTATCTACGAAATGGTTGTGCCTCGCCCACTTTGGGCTTTTTCATCTTCTCGGGTATCAGGGCAGCGTAACGGGCTAAATTCAACGCAGTGGCCCCAATGTGGTTTGAGTCAACATGCCGGGACCCTCAACCCAGCGATCACCACCTTTTAATTGTTCTAAGAGGAGAAGCTTAATCAAAAATGTCTTAATTTTGTTCCAGTACCAATACATACTTTATTTTAAAACGAATAATAGGAATGCAACTTTTTTATGATTTCCTCATGATGCCAAATAATAAATGCATTTGAAAAAAATAATTGAACACTCATTTGCGAAAATTCTGTATAATCAAAACACACAAATGAAATTTTAAATACAGTTGCCACAATATCAAGGCATGTCAGTTCGAACAGCATTTTTACTTGCCAGCCACTTGCCATAATACTGTCGGATCTGTGCTTGTAGGGCAGGATTGCGAAGAATAACTCTCCAACGGTCCTTGAGGTCAACATTGGTACGCCGAGAAGTGGAAAAGACCTTATCGCGAATTTTGGCCCAGGATGGCGGTCCTGGCAAGGCGATCTGTATCTCATGCCATAACGCGAGTGTTTCAGAAAGAGTCCAAGGCAACCGGCGTCGAGATGCATTACTACAAGCTCTCGAGGTGGCACCAATGTCAGCAAAACTGGTAAGTGTGAGACTCAGATCCTGAGTTTCGTTTGGCATTTGGTTCAAGGGTTGGTGGCAAAGGGTTTCTGAAAGGGATTGGGAAGATGGGGGAGTATTTGAAGAGCCTATTTTCGACATGCTTGGGGGGTGAAATAAGTGCGAAACCTCACGTTAGTGCGGCCGCACTAATGTGAAGTGTAAGGAATGGTGGTAACTCTTGTCTATTTTCCATGTTCAAAGTAGCAAAGGTACAGGGAGTAATACCATGGCTCATTGAAACGGTGTAGTAAAACGAACAATACGAAAGCAAGTCGGAGCTAGTGGCGTTCAAGTTTAAGGCTACAAAATTGTCCACCGTTAAGAACTGAAATCTGATCATAGCCTAATTCAACTAGCAGCCCATTTCATCTGTGCACTGAAGAAAGCAGATTACAAATAAATGCATACTCGTGGGCGTATCCGGTGGAGTTGAAACGTCTTTCAAGAAATCCGCATTGTCCCTTGGAACAAGTTTCCGTATTGGAGGGAAATTAATCTTATTTGGAGTAGATTGAGGAAGCTGGTTCATTGCAGAAATCTCGTCTGAAAATACATATACATAGATATACAAGGATAAATAAACTTTAGTAACGACTAAATTAGAGCGGAGTGCTTTCATACTGCAAAGGGGAAGGCCGACAACTATAATACAATATCCCTTGAGCTTGCTCGAAGTTAACTGTGCCTGTAGACTGGGGAAAACAGCTGAATGCATAAGTTCGAGTCAGATCAAGTACTTCCTAACCAAGTGAGCTGACACGAGTTTACTAAATAGGATTCCAACAATCCATTATTAGCCAATGAATACATAATTGGACAAAGCTCATGGACGCATAACTTGTTGCTAGCCTCATTAAAAATATGCCGGCTACCAATGGAATATGAATGGATTTCGGCACTTTTCTTTAAGACGGATGCAAATTATTGAAAAATCAACTTTAAAATTAACAACAATTCCACAAATAACCTGTTTGAGTACTGACAGATGAGGGGCGGTGGCTCACGTTTGCCGATTTGTTGAGAGAAGAAAATGAATCCAACCATTGCACAACCATTTGTTCATCCTTTTCCGAGCGCATCTCATTCGTTTGGCGTTGCTTGATAAAAAAAATTACAATCGAATTCACTAATTCAGGTTATGGAGAGCAATGACTAAGAATATTATCACCTGTCACAAATCATAGCATTCATAATACATTAAAAACGCACTCGACACCGGACATTTATGTCATTGATGCGGGACTTCACGATCTCATTCTCAAGCCAAAGGCATGGATGCTTCTCTAATAATACTTATTAAAAATCTATTTGAAAAACATACCAGTATCTCTATTTGATGAAAATTCTGATAACTGGGTAATGAGAACCTGGAGTGGAATGTTTCCAGAGTAGGGTTGGCTACTCTTGCTAGACGCTTGATCCTCCTGAATTGACACTTGGCTGGATACAATATTCAGTACAGCTGCGTTTATTTTTATGGAGTATTTCAACCAATCATCTATTTTTTTACTTTTCCTCTACAATACAAGAAAAGGTAATTTAGGGGAAAACAAAATTTGGATTACGCGATTTAATAAAGGGTAGATCAATTTAAATGTACCATGATATTAAGGGACAACATGACCGTATTTGTTGACGCATCCGTCCATTCTTCCTGTAGGTAGGACACTTTTTTTTCCATTTGCAGCAAGATTGAGCCGGCTTTTTCGAATAACTGCCGAACTTGATCAGACGATTTTTTAGGCCTTGCATCGAGAAATGTATTTATCAAATTTAAGAGCAAACTTGTCTCGGCATACAGAAGCATAGAACCAAGTATTTTAATATCCGAATGTTTGAGCGATTTCAGGTTTAGTAAGCCGCATAGAACTAGAAATAATGACTAAGGATTGGCCAAACTTGTAAATCGTTCAAAACAGGGCTTATCGCATTCAAGAACATCCGAGATAAACGACGAAATAAGCGGATCCACGATTGCAACAGACAAGGTTGAGGACAACCAATCAATGTTGGAAATCAAATTTTGAAAGTCCACATTATCACATCATCAAAAACAAAGCCACTCTCCGTTAACTTTTTTTAATGATGAATTTTTTTGTTCCTTTTGTGTCACATGCTGTATTTTTTAGCATTGTTAACTAGCACTGGCAGGAAAAAAAGCACTTGAAGATAACGAGTTGAATTCTAGTAAATGTTTTTGCGCAAATCGATGCCGATTAGATAACAAAAGTTGAACGGTCCTCAGATCTAAAAATTAGTCACATGGTTTCAATAGCGGTACACAAAAATTTGGTTTTATTCGTAGAATCATATGCATTTAATCCGTACATTGAAAACCAAGTCCTTATCAGCTTGAGACAGTAGGCCAAGCACTTGAGATGAAACCTTTAAACCCCCAGAGAAATATCACAACATGTGCTCACTTTTTGTACGTATTTGCTCTGAACTGTCGTGGTATTTACAGGTCTATCAAAATAAATTTAATTGTTTACGAACTTTTTACCAAATCACTTGGCAACTTTAACTCCTTTAGGTGTGCCGATTCATTATAATATCCTCACATATCATATTATTCATCGAGATATTTAGCTTACGTACATATTCAACAAAATTGCGAAATTTTTTATCGATTTCTTCCCCTACATTTTTTGATTTAATTTGCGTAATTTCGTTCAAACCTATCGTTTGTGAGTTAAAGATTTGTTGTCGTTCTTTTGCATACGTATGTATCTTGCAGTCGGCTTTTGGAACTGGGACAAATGGGAGATTAGCCAATTTAGTAACTTATTTGATCCTTGCTATCACACATTCGGTTAATCACGGAAGTGAGAGAGGCGTTGGAAGTCCAGAAGACTTTATTATATCGATGGGGCACACAACGATTAACAAGATGAAAACTGGTTAATTCATCAAAGTTTGCAGTTTTTGGGTATTCGGCAGGTCTATAGGGAGAATCATAAAGGAATAGGTTACTAGAAAAATGGTGTGGCAGGTGGCGTGCTAACAAGACTTGGACACAACTCGGGCTCATTCATTTTATACGAACACGGACTCAAGTTCTTCCAAATTCCATCTGTAAAAAAACTAATGCTTTTTAGATCCACAAAGCAAAACCGCTCTGTAATGTAGGTTTTTTAATTGAGTTCAAAGGCAATTTTAAATTACTTTTCCATCTATTGTGCATTATTGTTGATTTATCCCTTAATAATCTCTGTGGTGGAACGTTTTCCATAAAAATAATTAGTGAGTATCAATTGGGTTTGAACCTTGTAGTTTTGCTTAATTCAATACCTTAACAATTGACCTTAGAGCAGTTGCATAAACTCGATTTAAAGGCGCTCTAATGAAATGACCCAATCCACAAATAACACATTAATTGTTCCGTGTGTCAATTGTTGGTTGGAGATTTTGGTATCATGTTTACATGTATTTGTTGTGGGGAAGATTCCCCAAATATTTATACCGAGTATTCAAAGGAAATAATAAACTTTGAACTTTGCAAGCGCTGTGGTAAAATTGTTGACAAATATGTTGAGTATGATTTCACTGTCGTCGCAATTGACCTGCTTGTTTGTAAAATTGAAGCTTATCGACACATTCTTCGAAACGTCGAGTATCCCCGTATACTCCACCTTTTTATTCTCAGTTGTATTCTCAATGGATTTCTTGCTTGGATAGTCACAGAGGATTCTGCAGAATTTTGCTTTGATGTTGTTCAAGCGGCGGTGAATTCTGAACTATACTTTTACATCGTCTTAAAAACATTCTTGAGTTTTGTTTTTGGTAGTATTTTGTTTGTACTAGGACGTTCGCTCATGTATTATATTTCTATGTTAGACATTGTCAAGCTTCTTATTGTAACAAATCTGTATTCTCTTCTGGGTCTCTTTATGCACCCATGGAAATATTTCGTTTCATCCATTTTACCTCAGCACTCAACCTTATTTGCACCAATTCTCAGTCTTATGTGCTTGATGCCAACATCGATTCTGTCATTCAAAGCACTCACCAATGCCCCTTCTTTGCTTGCTACCTCGTTATGTATGTTGTCTTGTGGCTTGGTGTTTGCAATTGACTCAGCAATGATTAAATTACGATATAGTAGCTAACTCGTTGTTTTTTGTCTTATTCGTACAAACGTATTTTTAGATGACTACGGGGATATTCTGTCTATTAATTCTACTCCACGGACAATCATCTTTCTCGCTCAATCCTCGGGTGTCTGTTCACTTAGTTTCCTCATGGAAAGAAACCCCCGTTATCGCTGAAGCGGCGTAAGTAGATTCTCATGTCCTTTTCACCATCGAGTTAGTGAGTAACCTCTACTTATTTTCGGTAATTAACAAGTGTATTTATAGCAGTAAGACTTACCACAGTACTAAGTAATTTGATCGACTCTAATTTCCACTTAGACTAAGTGAAGAGTATGTGAAAAATGAAAATCATTGGAAAGTCCTTCACCAAGTTTGATCTTAAAATCTCTGTCATAGTTATTTAACTCAGCGCATGCTAAACGTTTTGGTGGCACTTCGTACAAAATGTGACCTTTTATCATGATCGTTTCATTGTTTGTTTGTAATGTTCTGGTATTTTTTTCAGGCAGTATTTGGCTCAACTATCGTCAGCTCACTTCTGGGGATTCATTAATAATCTAGAACGCCTTGCAGCCTCTAACAGTTCAGCCGAATTTTTTTCACCTGGTATTAAGTTATCAGCAAAAGCAATGGAACAGCTTGAAGAAATTGTATTGGATGTCCAAGGTGTAACTCTTGATGAAGGTGGAAACCGTGATCTCCAGAGAAACTTGTTCCGACTTACACTTGCCTCCAGGTCTCTCTCACCAGCGGTTCAAAATGCCAACCACATGTCTTCAGTAGCCCATTTTAAGTGGGTTTCAGATGAAACCGAGGGTTGTCATGGACAGGAAACGTGGGGTCGCATCGGCTCCACGTTTATCTGTGATTTGCAACAACTAGACAGCACCGTAAAGAGAGTAATTTCGATGTGTTCAAATGGTAACTTTTACAAATTGATTTGATCAGTTTCACTGCTTTCAGACTGCCCCGAATCACTGGTCGATCCTGCGTTGCTTTCGGATAACGTATTTCCTAGCAAGAGCGTTTCCAATGCCACTCCTCGATTGATCATCCACGGAGATTTGCGTTGTAAAGAATTTTACGAATGGCATAAAAGGGCAAAACAGCTTGCCGGAGAAAATCTCGTGGTTTATATTTTCAGACATTTCATCAAAGTCAGTTTATTTTTATTAGTCCTGTGACGAGCCCGTTGAACCAATTTTCCACTCTCACTTTTGTTTGTAGACCGCCGCTCCTTCAAAAACATGGTTAAATGGCTACGGAGTCGAACTTGCTTTAAAAAGCACTGAGTACAAGGCCATGGATGATAAGGAAACGGGACGTAAGCTCTACATCTGACTTCACTATAAGAATCCTTATCTGGAACCTTTGTCATTTAATTTCGTTATGCATTATGTGCTTAGGTAGTAAAGACCTTACCTTTGATGTACCAACCATAAATGAAACTGAACCAGTACTACAAGGATTTAATTTTTCTCAATTGCGGGCAAACTATCCTCAACTGAGAGCTGAGCTGAATGCCTTTCAACTTCATCTGGCTACTGGCACCGCTGAGGTCAAACCACTTAAGGTCTGGCAAATGCAGGACCTTGGGCTACAAGCCGCACAAACTATAATGGATGCTTCAGGTGAAAATGACTCCGATGTTGCGGGCTTGCTCATGTTGCAAGACTTAAGTCAAAACTTCCCGTCTCGCGCTTAGTAAGTTCCTTGTAGAATACGAGGTATTATCGCCAAAAAGCAAGCGAATTAAAATTGGTAAATATCATCCTTATCATTTTAAAATTTTACTTGGTTGTGAAATGCTCCAAAGTGACTTAAATTGCAATATTCTGATGTGTTAATGGGGGGTACTTTTACGTCGTTATCATTTCGGCAGTTGATTGATACTGACCAACACGAATCCCTTGAACTGTCGCATCAAGTGTCTTCTTCTTTAGTCAGCTCTCCCAGCGCTCTATATCAAGTAAACTGAAGGATGAGGTGGTGCAGAATCATCAGTTATTCGAGCATCTTTACGGAATTAGACCAGGAAGTAGTCTTTTTCTCCTTAACGGACTGGCTCTCTCCCCGGACGTCGACATTTACGCCCTTTTGGATCTACTGCGATCAGAGAGCCATCTTCTTAATCAGCTTCACGGCCTTGGGCTCTCTGTAGGTTCTGATAAACAATTTCATTCAGCTAAATGTAGAACAGTTGACTGCTAAATCTATTCACCTCTCTCTTAATGTCATAATAATTGGTGTTCAGTTTCATTCTGACAGCCTTATGTGACTTGTCTAAACTGATTGCATGTTCTAACCGGTCCCTTAACTGTAAATTCGGGATAACTGATCACTTAACTCAACCTCCGAAACCCAGCATTATTCTGGCGTTCAATCCCCGAATGTGTGTATTGATATTTCATCAAGTAGTAATTATTAACACCTTTATTTAATGTCAGATTGCACCACTGAAGTAAAGTATTTCGAGGGTTTATACATTGCATCGTGCATTTTAGCTTAATGTGTATAGAAGCAGTAAATATGCAACCCAATCGTGTGTTCAAAAGTTTCCACGGTTATCAAGTTGTAATTCTGATTTTTGACTAGCCAGGATTAATGGCTTGAAGCAGCACTTTTTAAGTGGAGACCGTGTGTGTGTGTGTTAATCCCTTCATTTTAGACAGACCAGACGACTCAGCTGCTGCAGTTGTCCCCAAGAGGCGAAAACAACTATCGTTTAAGTTCCTTTATGGAGAGTTACAAGCACACAGTCACCGGTGAACATCTTCTTGATACGCGCAGCGCTCCTGTGCTATTTCTGAACGACCTCGAACAAAATGCGGCCTATGGCAGTTGGACGCCAAGCACTCACGCTCTGTTTATGATGAACCCACCGGGCTCTCTAAGGCATATTCGGAAGAACCTTTACAACATAATTTTTGTTGTCGACCCCTCGGAGCCTGAGTCGATTGAAATTATTAGGCTTGCCGAGTCCTTCGTCATGAAAAGAGTTGCCATTCGGTAAGTTCTTCTGTTACTGTTTCAGCCTCCATATTTCATGCAGTTTACAATGATGAAGGAAAATTGGCCGCTTTACCCAGAAATAGAGCAAGGACGTAATGTCGTATGAATCGAAAATCACTGCAAACCTTTTGGTTCGTTTTGCTGATCTTAATAAAATATTTGTACGTCAATTTTCTCCTCTGGTGTAAGCTAATAGCTGGATAAACTTATCCAAGCGGACACCTTTTGTTGGAGGTTAGTTATCTCCCTAAGTAAACGCTCCCGTTGAATATCAGCAATAACAGTGGTATAATGAAAACACCCCATGAAGGTGGTTATGCGTGGGTGCTAGATTTGTTTAGATGTGAAACCTCAGCTGTGCCGTTGCAGCTTCCTTAATTAAAGATTGTTGTAGTATAAAACAAAATTCTTCAAATCAGTTTTGTGTAAAGCTTCGACCCCCTCAAATAGCCATAACCTTGGTATAACTTTGGTCTATGAAGCCGAGCATTATGTGACACCAAAGTGGCTTACGCAACCCTGTTATTTTTTTAAGTATTTTTGAAAAGATGCTGTTAAAATTGGTCAACCTCACTAATAAATTATGCGAAGAATAAACATCTAGGAGGCTACTTTAAGTTTGCTTTATGCATTCTTTAACTGTTCTTGGCATGCTCTTCTGCCTAAACTGTAGTCCCCTGCATCCACTATGTGGTTATCATTTAGAAAGCTTGGGTATGGAACCATTTCCGGTATATTCGTTATGATTTGAAAAAAAATGTTTTAAAAAAATCACAGGTTGCCGCTGTTCAGCCTTGAAGTAGTTTGTTGCACTCGGCTGTTTATAAATGCGATAATTTTTAGCTTTTTGTATTCAATTTCTTTACCATGATTGGGTTCATCCAGTTTCGACCAGGTGTCACCCGCGGACGGTCACCGATTTTTTCCGATACCACCAACAGCTTGGCCGAAATTCGTGAATAAATCCAAAAATCTACTCAAACACTTTCTACCATATAGACTTCACCTTTTAATCAAGCAGGCATGTAAAATACTAATAATACATTGGAAAAGTTTGGTATTTTGTAAGCACGAAAATCGAAACTTGTTTAGTAGTTACATGCTACTTTAGTAAGTTCATTTCTGATTGGGAGTGTTATCTTGCGCTGCGACGACGAAGTGGACCGCTTGGTGTTTGAAAAACTGATCTTATGACATTGGAAAATTCAAGTAATGTTGAGGCTGCAATTGCCTGACCAAAATTCGTGCCACTCCGTACTCCCGGGGCCATGTAGCGTAAGGCTTTAATGTGCTTGCCAGTTCACTAATCGTGAGCTTTTCGCTAAAAAGCTAAAAGTCTGTTGTATGGGCTTTTATGTTCCCGTTGCAGTGGAAGGTTATTCAGTCAGTTTGTTTTCATAATTGTTACTTTAAAGTGAAATTTTCAGATTATTTTCAACCACCAATTTTCCGCCATCCCAATTTCCCGTATTGGATAAGGATTTTGTTTTTTTTTCAATGATCAAACTGCTTAACAGTGTCGCAAACTTTGGTTAACACACTGTTGCTCATTTCAAGTTTGCAGTAACTGATTTTGGCGCTGCGAAGTATTAGCTTTAAGTTTGTTTCTTCTATTTGGTTAAGGATTTAATGTACGCAGGTTAAAAACTTGTGTTAACTTAACGAAAGTTCGAACTTTAAAAAACCGACAATTGATCTCTTTCCTGACGAGGTTTGCCCGGATATCGATTTTGGTTTCGAACCACAAACAATCCCAAAATACTGAATCATTTTGGGTGAACACCAGAAGTTGCTCTGAATTATAATCAAAGTAGACTGTGTAGGCAAACGACGTTTTCCACGTTATTTCAGTATTGGCCTCCTGTGGTCAGTCAACCCAGAAGTGGATTCCATCGGTCGCACTATAGCCCGAGTCTTCAATTACCTTACTGCAAATGTCAAAACCTATCCTGATCGTCGGGGTTTTGCGTCCGGCCTTGGCAATCCCGGTGCCATGACTGCCCTCAACTTTCTCACCGACCTCTATGCCAAGTCCGATAACGGCAAAGAGGATCTCATGACGCACGCGTTCATCGAATCCGAGTTCAGAGCTAACTTTCCCGAAGCCTACTCCGAGGATGTGTTTGTCAAGCCGGGCCTTGAGTGCGCATATGACGCCGACATAAAGGTTTGTTTCGTGGTGTTTTGTATTTCTCCCCAGTGCTCCTTTTTTCAGTCTGCAATGCCACAGTGTTCAGGTAATTTCGGTGAAAGGTAAACTTAAAGCTCGCAGTAGTGAGCATCGGCTCTTGCTTTCTGAGGGTGACATAGCAAGTAACTCGACTGGAGCTAAGTGACTTGGGTGTTTTGCTGTTAATCATCTAAACTTCTAAGTTAGACGGACATTTTATACTTCTCTTGATAAGGTTCTATTTCAGAATGGCTGTTTTGACTTCTGGTCCTTTTATTTTGATTAGTTAATGAGCGAATGACCTTGTTTCTGTTGATACTAGGGACGATTTTACGGTCTTTGTAATAAGATACATCTCAATTGTGAAAATTAATTTCCATTTCTTATTTCTTCAAAATAACGTATCTTAAATTTCCTGTACAGTTTCGCTACCTGAAATTCGATTTTAAATACCTTCAAATGGCGCACCTTTTCTTCGAATTTCCGCTATCGTAGCGTGGGTGCCAATTGTCTCCACTCTAATTTGTCAATGTTGCCAACAAATGTGATAATCAGACACGCGAAGTTCTATCTAGTATCCTTATTAAAAAAAACAACTTTAAGAATAAATTGAATCAAGTTTTTTTCGCTACCGGCATCCCAATTCGTCAAGTGAAAAGGTTTCATTCTCGGACAACCGCCCGAGATGAATTTTTTTGGAAGTGTGACATGATCGTGACTCATTTGCAGATTTTCATTTAGGTCCTTAGTTATTTCGCTTCTTCGAATTCGACCTCTTTCCGGTTAAAAAATTTGGGTTTCAGCATTCGGCAAATCTAAACCATGTTACCGAACTTAAATGAAGCGCCCCCATGATAAATGCATCAACCTGCAAGGCCCTGACTCCAAAATGCAGTTGACGCAAAATGTTTCCAGCACGCCGGCCAACAGAGCATGGCCGTCGATGGGGGAGTTTTATTAGTCAAAGTCGAATGAATTAATCTGAAATGCCTCTAGGACCAACAGCAAGTGCGATCGGCTACTTATGCTTGAGTACTACATCAACTGAAGGCAGTTTTAAAAAAATAGTAAACTAAATGTTTTAACCATCAAAGCTATTGTTCTGGATTGTTCGCAGAGAAACCTAAAGACGTGCATATTTTATTAAAATATCACATAAGTTATGGACCAACTGTTTAGATTGGTTTACCATGCAGTATGTTTTCATAAAAGCACCATTGAAGCCGATCGGAATTTCCCCGAGTGACTTCTTGCGCTTCAGACATTCAAAAATGTCGCATGTTCATCTTCTAAGCAAAAAAGTGTTCATGAACTTACATCCTGCTTCTCGATCAGTCCGTCTTATTATGCCTTTCTTTCTACCTTCACGTTTCGTTCTGCTTCAACTTGTATGGACTAGTAATTGTGCTATTAATTCCTCTAGAATCACTATAGATATTTGGAAACCAGTGGCATAATGCACTCAGCCGGCTCTCCCAGCATTCTCTCAAATGGGATGCTTTTTTCCTTGGCTGGAATCAGACTGATGGGTGGCTTGCAAGCGACCATCATGACTTCTGCTCTGGAGCAAACAACCTACTTTCAGCAGGCGGCTTTCGAGGGTCGCCTGTATGATGGCCTTTCCGTGGTGGATTTGTTTGCTGCCGACGGTCTCTTTGTCTCTCGAGTTAACCACCGTCTCTTGTCTGTGATTCCACCATTGGTAAACAAATTCTCCTTGGGCGATGGATCTGATGGCGTCTCAATGACCCCTTTTCTTCACTTTGGCCAGTTCCGTGACTCAAAAAAGGGTAAAACTGCTCACGCATTTCCTTTGAATTTCGCCACATAAAAAAATAGGGGTAGAAATCGCCACCTATTCGCTACCCAATTTTTCATCTACCTTCAGATGCTAATATAATGGACAACTCCGCTGGAGGGATAATCAGTGAATTGGCAGATGAGATGCGTTATCTCCAAAAAGGAGGTGAGTTGGCTTCCTCACTTTCATCCACTGGAGCTAGTATTGTGTTCCAGTACATGTGGATAACAATGCCTGTTTAGAATTCTGTCATGTCATTTAATGCGGTCCAAATGTTTTAAACTTATACTTGAATTCGTATACTGATTTTAACTTGATGATATGGAAATTTAGTTATTGTTAGTGCAAGCACTGTTAGTAGCCTTTAAGCTTTCCGTGTCACGGCTTTATAGCTACATGCGATGTCCGATTTTAACGGATTTTGTACACAACTGTATAGTGAGCCTTGAAATTTTTTCGTCACCGGATTCCAACTAGTATGTTTTTCAAATGTGTTTCCCAACCAATGTGAGTGGAACCAGTATTGGTTAAATGCGCATGATTCAAATCCCTTTAGCTCTGTCCACGATTGGTGAATGTCTCATCCTTATGGCTTTGAGCCCGGTTGTCTTTTCAAGGCTTCACTTGGTGTGCATGCCCTTGTAGACCTGGAAATGGAGGTTCGTCCCAACACCATATGGGTTGTTTTGGGCGACGTGGAGCCCTCGGTTGGTGCCTCTAGCCGCAGTCTCCTTTTGCTGGAACAAGCGGCAAAATTCATGCGCAGACACGCTTCAAAGGGTACCCGCCTCGGTTTCGTCTTCAATCCCTCCAGCCCTTTCGTGCTGACAGAGGAGCCTGCCGAGTGGGGCGCTCGTGGCTGGTTTACCCGCGCGCTCCTCCTTACTGGTCACCCCGCCGAAACCCTCACTGCCAACAAGCAACAGCCTCAAAAATATATGACCATGATGGCTGCTAAAAACTTTGTTCTGAAAATCACCGAGGAAGCCCTCAGGGTGGTGCGAGGAGAGGACAAGGAAGTCCGCCCTTTACCAGAAATGGCTGTTACTGTGAGTCAATTCGGAAGATTTCATCGTTGCCTGTTTGCTTAAAACTATGGAGCCGGCCTCCCCGTGTTGTGTCGCCGCTCACCCAAGAAAGCATTTTGCTTGCTAGTTTGATTCTAGCCAATTTGGTTCACCCATTTCAAATTTGTAAGTTGTGTTACCAAAAATCTTGCCTTCAGTTAAAGCCGTCTCAGCCCAGCTCACCACTTGTTCTGAGGTACCTTATCACTGGCTGATTCTTACGCTGTTTGATCACTACTCCCGTACTATACAAATTAATGAAAAGTATGAATAATTTTAACTTAAGATATTCCTGGGTTCCAACTGTCAAAAAAGCGTATTTCCTCAGTGGGAATCTAGTCTTATGGCTAACGCTGCTGCGATTCGATGGGTTTACCAATTTCTAGTTCGCGGTGTGCCAGGTTCAAGCATACTTCGCGCTCTTTCAACAGCGGTCAATGCTAGTGTTTCGGTTTTCAGTGCCAGATAGTTTTTTTTGGGATTATTTGTTTCACAAAATGATATTGAGAATGTCGAAAATGTCATTTGTAGCTGCCTCTTGACTGTGACGCGACACTGTCTTTTCAGGGTCTCGAGATTGACAAATTTCTTGAAGCCTTTTCTACCATTGATCTGCGTAAGAAGCTCTCTCTTCACACGGCCTTTTGTCAAAAAGCGCTCCGCATCCAGCCAGGTGAATCCGCGATCATTATTAATGGTCGTGTCTATGGCCCTCTTGATGACGACGAAATTTTTGCTGCGGAGGATCTTCGACTCGCTGAACAGCTCTCTGTCGAATCCGCGGGTATGGACTCTATGGCGAAAAGTCTGGCGAAAATGCTGCCGTCTTCTACCTCGGCAAATTACATTTCTGAACTTATTTGGAGAACAGCCTCCGTGCTTGAGTCAGCCAAATGGCGTTTGAACTCTTTTGCAAAAAGCGTAAGTTAGTAATGCCATTTATTATGGAAATTGATCACCTGAATTCTGGAAAACATTCTACTAGGTCCAGCCCATTCCATGTGCACCTTTGTTCACCGACTACAGTTGCTCGAGCTTTATACTTTCCTAATTTTATTAGATTTCGTCTGAGGGTATCTTCGCAAGTGGCAGCAGCTCACGTATTAGCCTCAAGGGCATACAGACGACTTATTCGGCCTTCAAGCTGGCGGCCACTAACGTCGGTTTGAACTACGACATTGTCGCTGTGGTGGATCCGGCCTCTCGAAGTGCACAACGCCTCTCGCAGATACTCACTGTTTTGCGCAATGCTATACCCTGTAGGATTACCGTCATTTTGAACCCATCGACGGATCTTAGTGACCTTCCTTTAAAGAGGTTTGTGTAATTTTTGGCATATGACCTGCCAGTTGTAGTACGCATGAAATTTTGCACTGTTCTCTGTGAGTTTTGGTAATGCTGCCTGTGACGGGGTGTCGAATCTGGAACCTGATCGATCTCTTGTTCGTAATCTCTCTTCTAGCTACTACCGTTTTGTTTGGCAATCGAGCTTCTACACCGCCGAAAATGGTCTAGCCGACCCGCCATCCGCGCTTTTCGATGATCTGCCGGGGAAGTCGCTTCTTACGCTTGGTGTCGACGCGCCACACAACTGGATGGTGGCGCCTATTCGGGCCGAGGAGGATCTGGATAACCTTCGTCTCTTTGACATCGTGCCCCAGACTGGCAGCGATCTTGTTGAAGCGGAGTTCGAGTTGGAGTACCTGCTGCTTGAAGGACATTGCTTAGACGAAGCTACTAGGCAGCCACCAAGAGGGCTTCAATTCACCCTCGGAACGGCCGAGAAATTGGACCGTTATGACACCATTGTCATGGCAAACTTAGTAAGCCTGATGCATGGCCTATCCTGCTTTGTCTTGTTTTTCTCCCACACTTACCCACACCATACGCAGTGATGCTTTCCGGTTAATCAGACAGTCTGCTTGTTTGACTTCAGGGCTACTTCCAGCTGAAGGCGAATCCCGGCGCTTGGTACCTGAACCTCCGAGATGGCCCCTCGCGCGACATCTACGACATTGTCGGGTAATCACGCAGTTTTTTTCTATTTTTTGTCCGTTGAACTTGGATACTGGCGTACACCTATGGCTGTTTCTTCAGTCGATAGTGCTTGCCCATTTTGGCATAAGTAGTGATGTGTGCTGGTTTTTATTGCCTTGACATTTGTGGAATAAGTCACAGCCTTATATTGTCGGCCAATCCAGCAACTCTGACGGCAAATAAACTAATTCAATTCGGCACAAAATCTTGTTCTATTTCGTGCCTTTTATATCCTGTGAACCACCGACTCTACTAGTTCCTCGTTAGTAGTTTGACCGTTTAAGTTGGCGTTTATCAGCTTCCTCTGTTTGGCAAGTTAATAACAATTCTGGCCTCGGACTATCTTGATTTACGCACTTTCTTGGCTGATTCATGATTGGGTGTTGCTGGTCCATCACCAAACAATTCAGCCTTTTGATAATATCTGATCTCGGGTGTTTAAACCCATGTGAAAGTTGCATCATAATCCGCCTAACGCCCAATTTGCGTGCGTGTCCATTTCAGAATCAGGTGTAAGAAGCTTCAAAAAATAACTTTTGCCCACTCTAGACACGAGTACGCAGATAGTCCTCCAGGAGCACCGTCCCTGATAGCCGTGATTGACAGCTTCCGTCCGAAGATCATTCGTGTTGATGTCGCCAAGAAACCAGATCACCTGACGGCTAGCGTTCTCGATGCTGATGAGGGAGACGGACGGAGGCGTGCCAATGACAACAACGAACATGAGAAGCCCCTTGAGAAACTTTGGTCTGTCTTTGATAGGTAATTTTTCACTGTAAGCCACTGAAGTCTATCCCCGTACACTCACCCTTGATGGCTGTGAGACTGACCAGATCGGATCGAGCGTCATATTTTTGTCATTAGGTTTCGGAGCTGCCCGCCATGACCGTGGTAACCTCGGGTCTCATAAGTTCGAGTCAGCAATAGAAATGCTTTTGACAAGTGCCATCTGGATATTTAACTAAGCTTTCCATTTGCGCTTTCAGGAGACTCCAAGTACCCTATGAGCTTCTTGGTCGCCTTTGATTAACGAGATCAATTGTTTCTATTTCATTAAGTACACTGAATTTCATCAGAAAATCGTCGTATGTTCGACAGGATCCCGCCAGCAACCCGACCAACGAAACCATCAACATCTTCTCATTAGCCTCGGGTCATCTCTACGAGCGCTTTCTTCGGTATGGAATGTGGCCACTTGTTATGTTTTCCACTCACACCAAAGAATCTGTTTTCTTTTATTGCCACCAACCCAAACTTGACTCGAAAACTGTTCACTGTTGAAATGATTAGTGTAAGAGATCAAACCCATCATAACCCAGTCTTACCCGCCAATTTCACTTAGCCAGGTCCATTTGTCAGTAAACTCAGCGCCTTAAATGTGTCAAAAATATCTCTTCTCAGTCTGCTAAACCATTTTCGATTTAGTTTACCTCGAAGAGAACAACTATCCCAAATTCTCTGGAAAGGTTATTTCCACTTATGCTCGTTGTGCATATTAATGGCCCAGCGGTTACTTTTTTTACACTGAGTCTAGGTTTACCCTTAACTGTAGTGCAGCTTTGGATGGTTTTCATGTGCTTCACAAAACTATTATCCAATCTCTTTCAGAATCATGATGCTTTCGGTAATTCGAAACACAAAATCTCCAGTTAAATTCTGGTTCCTCAAGAACTACTTATCACCGCCTTTCAAGGAGTTTATTCCCGAAATGGCCGCCGAGTATGGTTTTGAGTACGAGTTGGTGCAATACCAGTGGCCTCGGTGGCTCCATGCGCAGACGGAGAAACAGCGCATCATCTGGGGCTACAAAATCCTCTTCCTCGACGTGCTCTTCCCGCTGAACGTTAAAAAGATCATTTTCGTGGATGCCGATCAGGTATCTTCCAAATGTGTTTGCCTGTGTTCATGAGTGGGTGCTCGTCAAATTTTCTTCACACTTTGTTGCCACAATTGTAGACTAACCAAGTTCAATGTTAATCTTTGCCATCTGACTTGGCGAAGAGGTAAAATCACCACGTGGTTGTCATCACCACACATTTTTCTATTCAACCTCCTCATCCCAAGAATACCCATTAATCAAGCGTCACTGGCGATCAACTTCTCATTCCTCTAAGCGCCTAATTTGGCCTTTTTCCGCAAACACGATCCTGAAACGCCCCTCTCCATTGCAGTTGTTCTTTACGTTCTTCCCATAACCCATTATCGCTTCGATGTTTTTTTTCTCTTTTAACAGATTGTGCGTGCAGATTTGCAAGAGTTGGTAAACCTTGATCTGGAGGGAGCACCATACGGCTACACACCATTTTGTGACTCACGAAAAGAGATGGAGGGTTTCCGTTTTTGGAAGACCGGCTACTGGCAGTCCCACCTGGGTGACCGCCCCTACCATATTTCTGCCCTCTACGTTGTCGATTTGGTTCGCTTTCGTAAGATGGCTGCTGGCGATCGTCTACGAGGACAGTATCACGCGCTTTCGAGAGATCCAAACAGTCTCTCTAACCTAGATCAGGACCTTCCTAATAATATGATCCACCAAGTAGGTTGTATATGCAATTGTCTCAATGCGAGCATCTAAACCAATTTTTGCGCACATTGTGATTGCATCCAATGCCAAGTTGGGCAATGACTAATCGTGCGTGGGTCCTGCGGTTCGTTTGCATCACCTAAAACACTAGCTTGTGCTACTGGGCTATGACGTCCGGTTTGATATCTGAATACCGTTTTATCCTCTCAGTAGCCACTCAAGCATTGCTGTGTTTGTCCAACTGTTGTACAAATTTTAGCACGACCAAACAAGGGGCAATGCTTTCCTTTGTCTACACGAACCCACATTCAGCCGGTTCTTGCATGCCATTACAGGTGCCAATCAAGTCGCTTCCTCAAGAGTGGCTGTGGTGTGAAACGTGGTGTTCGGATGAAAGCAAAGCAAAAGCAAAGACGATCGACTTGTGCAACAATCCAATGACTAAGGAACCAAAACTGTCGGCAGCCATGCGGATCATACCGGGCTGGGGTGACTACGACGCCGAGATTAGGGACCTGCAACGTCGCGTGGCGGCTTCCAAGAAGAATAATTTGTCAGCGGAACATGGTATTTTTTTTTCTAATTTCGCATGAGTTTAGTAATTCACGATTCACTTCACTAAATGTGTAGGGGGGGGGTGTCCGTAGCGATGTTCTATTAGTTACTACTCCTTTTTGCCTTCTAATAAATTTGAAAAAATGTGTGTTCTGGCTTCTAAATTTTATTCCGTCGATGCACCTACTCCCACAAATGTGGCAGCGGAAATTCGACAATCATTTGCATGAAGAAATTGTGGGAAGTGAAATTCCTGCTATGGCAGAGTAGCCACAGATAAATTTCTGGTTGTTAAAATTTAACGCATTACAAATGAGTTTGGTTGTGTCCGGTGTCCCGATCTCACGCACCTCCAATAATTGCTTGATAAGCCACTCTTTGAATGAGTGTTTTTTGCATTTGGAAGGGGAATCACGACCATCTGCTCTATCTTAAAATACTTGATAGATACTCCACACATGTGGTGCTGCTATCCGTCCCTTTTAGTTGCAGCACGCGGTGGTTATTCTAATTTTTCGCTGAATTTCAGCTCAGGTTGACTGAAAGTTTCCTAATATTTTGTTCTGGCAAATAGCACAATGCACACTTCTTCGCTTTAATGTGTAACTTTAACCATGATGTTCTTTAATGCCTGATCGTTTTACTGTCCTGGTTTTCATTAAATGCCACCTAAATGTATTTTTTTGATCCGGGTAAACCTTGCATTTCAGAATTTAAGTCTGTTCTATCATTTAGACCTAACTTCTGTTGTGTATGTATCAGTACTTGTCTCTTGTCGTGTGGGATAACGCAAATATCGTTATTGTTTATACTGCTTAAATTTCTAGGCCCCACTTGGGCCTTCAAGCAGTTGTTGATTTAAATAAGTGCTTCAATGTATAATTAGCAAGTAGTGTATACATATTGAGTCCCTGAAATTTTTCTTTTCGTTTTTCATGCAGTCTTTTCTAACCTTTCAGTTGCTACTGCGGCAAAAGACGAACTTTAGAAGAAGAAGAACACATCCACCAGTGGATTTACAAGCAGCATTGTCTTTCATCTCGCGCAAATTGCGTTTTGTAACCGTTGTGTTTTTAATCAGCCCAAAAACGTCTTTGTCAGTGTTCGTCGTTCTTTCCTTATCACCCCTCTCTGTACTCTACGGGACTGGCAAATTAGTGCATAAATTATTGCATTTTATGTTTAATGAGAAAATTAAATCTCCTGATAGGTAGTTACTAGTATAACGAGCAGATGGTCACATCCTCGAACATACAAAACAACTAGTATCTACTGTAAAAAGTGGTGTTTTCTTGTGCCAAACGGTTTTGTGCTATTTCAGAATCCGGAATAAACAAAACATCCTCGTCTTAAACAACTAGGCTGTCCAACGCCAAGTGCCATTAGGTCCAAACCAACGTCTTCCACTCAATGTCGCATAATCAGTATCTAAAATATTGCCATTGCCAGTTTATAGCCATGAGTAAAACTCGTCTTCTGTTGATATATAGAATCTAGCAAGGGTAAATTGAAAAGTGAGATAACTATAGTTATTCCGCGCTGGTCTTCACATGTCTCACCCACTGATATGAGTACTACGAGTCTCTCTATCGAGCTTACTAGTGAGATCAAGTCATTTTAAGTGATTGCCACTTGTTGAGTAGGTCCCGCATCTGACCTGTTTGCAAAGTCTTGCACATTATAATGACGATCCACTTCGGTTGGGGGTTTGATTTGCTCATCATCAGCTGCAATTTGTCGCCCAGAGATGATTTTTTCAGCACACTTCGACACATCCGTTAGATGTAGTAGTAGTAGTCGGCACCGCGAACTGCCCACTTCCGTCTTGGGTCCCAGCTGCGTTTTTGACCTTGTGGAAAGAAGCTTGTTTGCCTTCACACCCCTGTTAAATTCGACATTAAACAGATAGGTGCCTGTATAATTATGCCGTCCGCTGGGAATTTTTGCTCCTGTGTTTCGCGTGCCGTAATCAAACGCTCATCCAATATATTTTCTCTGAGCCAACGACAGAGGGTGCGTCGATAACGTACTTCTAGGGTGTGTCGACTTCATAAAATCTTCATGCAGGTGTGAGCGCAGCCCTGTCTAGAGAACCTAGATTGAGCACCTTAAAGTTAATTATGCTTGCGTATTTTTCTTCTCGAAGCACTTTAAAATATTTGAAGATAACAGGATGCACGTCTGTGAATGCTGTTTCATTCACAAGTCTTGCCATCGTTTTCTTAAGCGAAGCCTCTTGACTGGGTGTTTTTGGGAATATTGGATGCCACAAGCCAGCACTGATTTGATTCTGTCCATTTTTGAGTGGCTCAAAGTAGACCTCGTCGATTGTTGGAATTATTTGACTAATACCAATCAACCGAAGTGAAGTTGACTCACTAAATGGCATATTTCTGTTGGCAGTTTTTGTTCAGAAACCACGCCATGTGTCAACTTTCACTGCCTCCACAAACTTCGCTGATTTAACAGTAGATCCTGTCTTAATTTTTAACTCTGCAAACGATCACTCAAACAACTGACGTTTATCTCCTGAAATCATAATGATTGCCACTACGAAGTGTTGTTATGGTTTTAGTTGAATTAAAATAACTAAACTAATTAATCGCTGAGATACCAGTGAACCAAAAGTAATGGAATTTTACTGCTCATATTCCCTTGTAGCTTCTGCTTCCTTGATACAGTGCCCTTGGATCATGTTATTCCTCGGTTGTGTTGATCGCAAGTACAGTAATAGAATTTGGAGCAGAAGGCTATAATGAACCCAATTATTCATAGCACAATTTCGTTGCTGCCAGCGCTTATTTAAGATGCTTAACAAACAGGACATCTGGGAATCGAGTGTATTTCTCTCTCTTAGACTTCTTTTTCAAGTATAGATCATGATACATGCCCCCAACCAAGAACATCTAGATGACAGTTGGGTGATCGGGATGCTTGAATTAGTCCCTTGTGCTTTTCACTCAGATTACATGAACTTTCTGTGTTTTCCAGACAATAAACGTTTCCTTCTTATCACGTACTATTAGTAAATGCCGCAAATGTGTTCAAAATATTGAATTAATAAAAGCACTTTCATCAGACCCACAAGACATTAGAAGATGATATCCTAACTACTAATAATTCTGATGTTTTGATCCTTTCATCTACTCAAAGGCGCATTTCCACCCCTTAGTAAAATGTTTCCTCGCTCCACAAACGGAAGGGATATGACGGTATTTACGGATGATGTGGTCCTTAATCCTGCATGATTAATCAACCACGCTGTCACAATGGCGTACCGTTTATTTGCCAGTATCAACTAAAAGGACTGTACATACAAGTACTACACAAAGATATTTTACCTGTGGCTATCTGATTTTTCTCTTTATACAACTGACACGGTCGTCTCATTGGGAAATGTATACGCCAGCTGATGTTTAAAACACGATTTGTGCACAGATTATAGAGGATAAAATGTGTAAAATAGCCCCCTCAATAACTTTATTCGTTTTAGGATGTAAATTGTAATACGATTAGAGACGCCTGCCATCCTTTTGATTCGATCTTCGGGGTAAATTATCCCATTATTTGTACGTGAGAGGATATATTTGGAGTTAGTAAGACAAGTAGTTTGACCATTATTAAAGGATTACAAGTAGCCAGTTACTTTAATCAATCTGTTAGTGATCGTTTATGGAGTTTGCGAGGTTGGCTTTGATAGCCAATTCCAGGATGTCCAGTTGATTGTTGACGGCTAGTTCCATAGAACCTAACTAACAACTCCTTTTGGGACCCAAATGGCCAAAATTCAGTCAGTGAAGCTAAACTGTAAGGTTTCACACCCTAGATCAAGCGTCGTGTCTCAGAAGTGGAGAATTGATGTGTCCAAAGTTGAAACGTAGAAAGCCTTATTGAAACCAAGCTTCATATTTAGAGAGCCTGTGTGCTTTTGACCCTAACCACAGTTCAATCCGAATTCATACTATCGAGCACTTAACGAGTGTAGCAGTTAAAGTCAGTTAAAATGAGCAGAAAGTTTGCCAAGCTCGACAAAAATGCGACTCTCCGTCCTTCATTTGCTTTCTTACGCTAAACAACTCAAATACGAAAATATGGTAAAACCAATCAGGAGCTTATTACATTGTTAGTTTCCTAAAACCATAATTTGTTAAAGACACAAAGACCCTGAACGGAAGCCATGGATTTTGAAATTGTCAGGCGTCTTCCAAGTTGTCAAAACAACGCACTCGACTTACTTTCTAGTGCTGGTTTTTTTCAGGTACCCACGTCCACTTCGGTAAAAATACGAACCTCATTAACTTTAATATCAGCACACTAACATTTGCCAATCTGCAATTAATCAAAATCCCCTGTTTACAGTCAGTAGCGCTGACTGTGGGGTATGCTAGCCGACATTTGAAGGACAGCAAATTTTCTCTCTCTTGGTATGCATAACGTATCGAAATACGCCATGGCACAATTCATTTTGTTCAGTGAATACTTGGAAACTTTGAGAGCTTTTTGCTTTGCATTTGCATTCAGGAGAAAAGAGGACAGCTAGTCCCTTGTCGACTAGTTACAGGCTCAACTGTAGTGCTTTTTTAGCCGCAGGTCATCAACTGTGCAAGACTAAAAGTGAAGGCGAAGCCGTCTTGTACCCGGTCGATTTTATAAGCGAGCCGACAACACCGGTACACGCAGACACCGAAGTGCGAGGCTGCTTGTGAAGTGGGTCCACCTAGTTAAACAACGACGCTTCAAAAGGACAAACGCGAAGATTGTGTAAACAGGCCTACGAGCGAAAACGTCTAGGTGAACATTTGTGGCTGGAAAAGTTTGTTAGTATTTCAACGACAATATTGCAATGTTCATTTACGTTCCAAAGTATACTATGCTCTGTTGACCTAGGTATACGTATTCGAATTTCTTTCCAGTTCACGCATAGATTTAAAACGTTTAAGCAAAATGCAGTAATATTTTATGCATTGTGCGTGGACTTGCGTGAGAGAGGTGCTCTTTGAGTCTGAGTGTCATAAAAAAGAACGCGTCAGCCGTCTGACTCCTCGGCTTAAAACCCACACAAAAGACTTCGGCCATGTAGTTAGTTTTCCACCGACCCCCTGTTCCCGATGTAGTCACGCCCGCGGTTCTCCTCACGTCATCTCCCATGCCATTCACAGTTGTGACTCAGTAACCAGACTTACCGGCCGGAATGCATTCGAAAGTCGCGTCAAATCGAGAATTATTTAAGAGAGCGTTGTTGGCACGTTTTACGAGTCAAAATGTGTATCCGGAAATGAGCAATTAATCATGGTTTAGGATGAAACGGCAGCGTATCTTTTCACGACTTCCCAGCCTATATTACACCCATAAGGACCTAGAAACGATTACCTTTAATCAACTAACGCTTAAATCCAACAATTGGCCGCAAATAACTGAGCGCACCATGTTTTGGAACTAAATGACGAACTCCTTAAATGGGGAAGAGAGAACAGTGCGAAAGCTCCAAAGGCTTTAATTTGACAGAATGAAACATCTCCTTGGAGGTGGTGCTAGGACCGCAAATACTGGTCAACTAATAACTCAACGTACCTGGCACGAGGGGCAAAGTTAATGTGCCAGTTTAAGAAATTGAAAGAAGGTGTGTATCGGAAAAAGACATGCGGTATCAAATATATCGGACGAGTTTTTTTTCTATGCATATAAGATCTTACTAATCATCATTTGAGAGGTTTTTACCTTTTTACAAATAGCAATACATAGTTATGACTTGTCCTCAAGAAGTTTTCCAGTAAACGACTCTAGTTTTCACCACAAATACCCATAAACATAAATTTAATATACAAGTATTATAAACACTCAGTTTACATGTATATCTTTGGTAAAATTCACTTGAATGAACTACTTTAATTGAACATCAAACGATTCAGACACACACACCGGTGGTCCAAACAAAAACTTGATCATTATCAGGACGTTTTTGGAACAAATTTCTGGGAGAAATGTGCATGCTTACGTCAAGGGATCATTTAGTATAAAATGCTTTCAGCAGTCGGAAAATCTGCTGAAAGAGTGCTGCAGCGACTCCTCCAGAGGCTGTGGCTTCTGGGATTAACAAGCATTGTCAGAGGTCTTGAAATCTCCGTTAGTCAGGGACTTTACTGTTCATGACAGGCTACATGAAACAAATAGTTAAAGAATACTCGCTTGTGTTCTAACTAAGCTCCGTTGGCGTACATCACGTCGAATACTAATTTCGGAATTCACCCTGAGATTTAACTTTGAAGGTTGGAGACAATACAAGAAAGGCAAGTGAAAGTGTGTACGAATGCGATGAACAAAGTACCCATAAACTTAATTTAGTCAGTCGTTTTTCGGTTCATTTTTGTTTATTTATATACTATTCAGCTCAGTTACTCCCTAGTCGCGGACTTGAAATATTAGTGGTCTGTAGCAGGTCTGAAAACTAGTCATATTTGCCGTTGCATTAAAGCTAGCCTTTACAGGATAATGATACGCCTGATAACCAGTAAAACTTGAAACATAGTAATGTTTACTGCTGTTCGATTGTTCGGTATCAGAATACAATCTAAAAGTTAGAACAAATGCAAATGACAGGTCAATGTACAAAATTCAATGAGATCAAGGGACTCAGTGGCTTCTTTGCAACTCACGCAATCGTTAAATTCTGTTAATGCAGAGTAGGGGCTCTAGTTGAATCTGACAGAATAGCATGACACCTGCCCGATACAAATAGAACCGCGTGCCCGGTTTCAGCAGCATTGCTGGTGACCCCTCTTCGGAGTCCAAGATGTGAAGGTGCCAAGACTGAGCGAGGATGGTCTTTGAAGGTGATGATCCACAGCAAGTAGTGGGTGATTGAACTTTAGTGTGGCCAGTGGGCCTCTTCGGAGCCAGAAAAGCAGAAAAAACAGTTGTACTTGGCTCTCTGGCGCGAAAAATTGAAAGGAAGGCCTCTGGAGAAGCCGAATGAGACAGGCAGATGGCTAAGCGAGAGAGAATGGAGTCTGGTGGATGCAGGTGTTGAAGACGAGTTACACGAAGGTACTTTTGAAGGGGGACGATGATTTTGGGGAAGAGAAGTTGTGCTGCTTGGCGAGGAGTCATCGACCCTAGCAAAGTAATGCGGGTAAGAATGGGGCAAAAGAATAAGCCTACTACATTAAGATGCTTCAAATGCCTGAAAATCATTATGTTAACTTTACCTTTGAGCAAGACAGAAGCTAGCACAACAAATGGCTTTAAAGCGAAGACTGATGCATCGCCCCATATTGTCGATTCAACCTGGATTTTACTAGGACAACGTAATGCACAACCAAAAAAGTGCTGAGGCAGTTTTCTATGCATCAGCAAAATAAAAAGGAACTTGAAGAATAACTCTGCTTCCCGGAACACACTGGAAAGAACTTGAATTTGAACTCATTTAGCTACAGGAGGTGGAGTAGAGAAGAGAAGTAGCTGCGAACGTTTTTACGAGGTTGTTTAAGTTTCGTGAAAACTGGAACATCTAAATAATACTGTTTTAACGTGAATACCACAAAAATTTCTTGGAGTTGGAGTAGTTAGGTGTGCGGAATTGTTGTGCGTCTTGCCCAAAACTTGGAAAAAAATGCAATTAACATTGAAACTTGTTTGATTAGAAGAAATCTCTGAGAGTCCACATAGCAGTGCAATTAGAATACGCAAAAAATCCACATATTATTTCAAATATTTTTGAATGAGAAACTCAACTATGTGCTTTTCTGTAGCCAATATAAAAACCATGATGGTTCTACAGGTGCATTATGAGGGAGGACGTGTTAAATATGCATTTGTACTCTTGTCCTCGTAAAGGCAGGACGACTTAAGATAACATTTAATTTGCAAAAGAACCTAAACAATTATAGTAAATGCTAAAATACCGTTACGCGTAGCAAAACACGAGTTGATACAAAGGATTGGATTAAGTGGATTGTCTTAACGAATTAGTCCATGGTCGACATAACGCTGAAGACATTGATACAAAGAGAACTGACCGCAAGTAACACTCAAAGCGGCATCCAGTTTAAGAGGGAATGCTATTATGCACAAACCTGACTCCCATACAGTTCATTCGTGTACACCTTGCTTGTCATAATGTTACGTAATCTACCACTGAACCGTCAAGCAAATCGTAATTTGATTCATTTGGAGTTGATATTCCCTGAACGTTATGGATAATATTTAGGAGTTAAGAAAGTGTGTGCTTCAGGGATTAAACAAATGGGCCTGCTCTTAGGTCTTATAAAGTGCCAGTAGCAAGTATCTGAGCGGCATTTGAATTTTTTGGACCACAAAATTATGGTGGTGGTCAAAGTCTTCACCCAAACTACGTAGTAATAAGGGAGCACTAGATAGCATAAACATGGAACGTACGTACGAGGAGAGACAGTATGGTTTAACAGCACTTAAGTAGAACTTATTCAAAGAAGGGAAAAACTTTTCAGTGGCCTTCATCCCTCCATGGTCAAATTGACTGACGACAAAGCCCGTGTGGGTTAAACGACGATTGCATTCTGAAACCGGGCACTATAATTACGACACTACGTTCGTCGAGTTTGAATGCAGCTTGAACTTGGGACAAACTGCGACAAACACGAAGCAAGAGATCATTAGTGCCGCGAGCTAAATGACGGCCTCTTGGTGGTACTTCAATTAGTCATGGCTTATCGCGTTGTGCGTCAGGAGTTAACTGCAAAGTCACTTAGCATGTGAAATGAGAGTAGGACAACCATTAAAGTTCCAGTCTTAGGCAGTAACTCGCAGCCTCCAAAATGACACTGTCAATTAATCTTCTGACGCGGGTACTTAGGTCCACATTCCTCACATCAGTCCAATTAAAACTAAGCCTACCGAACAACAATGTACAAACATTAACGGCTGGTCTTAAATTCTGCACGGAAACTCGGCAATACAAGAACTTTTAGACAATTTGACTTAAACGCCAGCTTGGCATGGCCGACTTTATCCAATGGTAGTTACTGTAACAGGACGACGAAAACCCGATATTTACCACACTTAGTTCCTAATCTTATCAGTAAATCCTGCATTCCGAAATCGTTATCTACCAAATTTACGGTCCTACATAATCTTACGCATTATGTTCACGGGTTTAGGCGACAGTGTTTCATCGCTAGGCGTGAAAGGGCCATGGCATAGTTGACTTTCGTCACTTGTTCTTATCCAACACCCACGCACAGATCCATTTATGATATATAGATTTCCAACTATATTTATGAGTTATAGTAATTTCGAACAAAATTTTCCTTTTGCGAATTTAATCTGGTCTTGAATTTATCCGCAGTGGAGGTACCCTAAGACGATGTAGCAAATTTAATATCATGAATTTTATTTCTACAAAATAAAAACACTTGAGCCAGAATTATGCTGAATTGAAAAAGAGGTGTTCAGAAGGTCATGTAAGTAAGAAAATGGCACTTACCACAGCGTCCAGGTACACTGATCTCGTCAGGCGAAACAGCCAACACTCCAGTGAACGCCTTCTCTGTGGCGAGCAGCAACCGCATCCGTCGTTTTCGCACCACCCTCTCAAATTCCACTTCGCTGCGGTATCGGTCGGCACAAAGGGTGGCCACATTGCGGCCACCACCATCGCCATCGTTGACGCCACCCTTCAAGGTCGTTAAGGACTCCGCGGCTGTTGAGCAGACGTCGGGACCATCTAGGGAATAGAACTTGAAGAAACTTCCACCACCCGCACTGCTACAACGTTTCATTTGATACTCCTGCTCTTCCTGCGTGAGACAGGAAAAAGATGCCAGTTTTCGTCGCAAACGAAGTGAGGCCCGACGGGAGTGGGCTCTGGAGCTTTCGTTCTCTGGTGAGTCGGGGGAGATGCGAATATACCGGTATGGAGCGCTGGCCACCTGAGCGTCATACAGCTTAACGGTGAACAAACACAACTCAAATGAGGATCAAGTAGCGCAGCATTGAACGGAACAAAGTTAAAAAATTCGTGAACAGATCTTGGCAGGTAATTAAACAAGAAAGGCCCCTATAACTTAGGCCAGACCAGAGACGTATTTTTGTATCCCAATCTTTACAAATGGTAGAAGAACCTCGACCACTCTGACTGACAGGTTTGGACGTCTTTGAGAGGTAACCACCACACTTTTGTTCCAAAAAGAAAACGTTTAATAAAAATAATTCAAATATCGAGTGTCACAAGCACCGTACGAACCATTTGATACTTTACAAACAACACCTTATTATTACATTAGCTTTGTTAAGATGGTCGTTCAAACCCAGCGTACTTCACCGACCTGGCTGTGTTTCAGCAGTGGTGATTTTCAGACAATGAAATGGTGAGACTTCACTGAAGTAAAAACCAATATGCTCTGTCTACGTTATTTGAATTCTGTTGCATTGAATTATGGAAATTGTTACAATTTTCGACAGATGCTGCAGTGTAAGCCCCATTCATGTTTTCAATATTTAAAATTTGCATAAATGTGGTGAAAAAATAATGCAATCATGGCTGAAACGGCTCGTAGACTAGCAATTTGTTTTAGGACCCAAGGGACAGGTAAGTAAAAACAGTTCAAAAAAACAGCTCGAGTCAATTTCATCAACGGGTGGAGATTTGGGGAAACTGGTTCCATTGGGAAACAATAGAGGAAGCGTTTAGGAGTAACTGCCACTGATTTACTAGTCATGAAGAGATATTGACGGGAAGACAGGCGATGAGTAACTTTCGATTATGCAGCTTTGCATAATGCGTCCGTTTAGTCGATCGTCTATCCACAAGAGCCGCATTCAAATGACGCAAAATTATGGTACAACCCTGCAATAACAATAATGTATTGCATTCTTTTTGAAATACCGACAACAAAATGCGACATCTTGTCGTTTCCCCTGGAGGGATATTTACATTCAGTCGAGAAACCTTGTCAAGCTCTAAGGTGACGCAACGCTGATTGTGATGCTGAACAGCTTGTCGAGTCGAACAACGAAACTACAAGCCACATCGAGTCTTATTAGGATATTCAAAGCACGAGTCTTCTGGTGCACATCGATTTCGCGCTTGTGGCATGCCAACCTGTCTCAAAATGTGTTGTGCGGTACTCTAGGATTTTTCCATGGACTGGCCTGTATCTGCGTGCCCGTTTGAATCACAGGTGGAGTCAGCTCCTTTTACATACCATTCATTCGAATAAAGTCAGAGTTCGGTGTACAACAATTCCATTTACAATCTTACGAATAGTGTGATTAGGAACTTTTCCCCTAATTTTAAAACCGGATGAATTAACAGTTTCTTGAAAGACAAATAATGTTAACGATAGCGTCCTTTTAAAAAGACCTAAAAAGTAACTACATCGTCGGACAAATCTAGGCGCCTTAGAACTTATTGAATAATTTTTTGCCGCACTAATGAGGGTCAGTGGAGTAGGATCTTAAACATTATTGTTCTTCTTATTTTCAGTCCCATAAAATCATCCGCAACATCTATTTTAGTCTTTAGTAATGACATAGCAAACGCAGATAAACTTTGAGGAAGTAGAAAATCTATGGACAGGTAGATAACACCATAACCAACCTGTCGAGATTAAAATTAAATCTTATTGAATTGTTCATAACCTACAACCGAATATCAACACTACGACTGTTGTCGAGGCCTGTTTTAGGTCCATCAGGATACACTGGTACTATATGTATCGGCAAGGAAACCCATAAACCACAGTGAATAATTAAGGACACTTGGGTGGAAGTTAATGTACCTCTCGTGTCGAGGTTACTCGTGGCCAGTCTGCATAACCTGCTAATATGAGCGCGTCAACAGTGCGATGGAGAACATAAATTGTCGGTAGGTCGAATATGTTTAGAGGAACCGTCTAAACCCATCAAATGGTTTTAATGATCATGCGAGTAAGCTTTCAAATACAGTTATTATTCGCGCGCATTTGAACGAAGGCAACTCACCTGACGGTGAATGGGTCAAATTCAAGTTCATTCAAACATTTCGGTTTTTTAATTTGAAACAACTGCACGATGATTAAAATAATATCGTACAACGGAACCAGAGTAGCTTCGACCATTTAGGGGAATTGGAAACTTAATGTGACTTCCGCGGGCTACGTGTAGTAAACGCACAAATAAGGCTCTGCATGCTTGTACGTTAACGGAGAGGTATTGGTGAATCTGGCATGCACACACGCACCCAGACGCCAAATTCCCCTTTCAATTCTGGAAAATTGGACTGCGTTTTGCGCCAACGAGGAAACACCAAAGGGCATTTTCGCATTCAGGCCACGCCATTACCAATTTCAGCGGAGGACTGTGTATCCTTCTAACTTCCGACATAAAGACGCCCTTTTAAAGGGGGTAAATGTTAGTTTGGTGTGTTTATATCACCACAGAATCCGATTCTACATTACAAATCCAGTAAAGAGTAATTTAGGTAGCCAAATTGGTGGCGGCACAGTCTGCGTGAAACAATGTCCACTAGGAATGAATTACTGTGGCATAAACCTGTTTTGAGCTTATCAGTATGTCCTGGTGTGTAAAATACATTGTGGTGACGGAAAGATGGGGAAGTGCGAGAATACCACGCTGTTAAAATCTTCCTCTTGGTAAAGGCGCCGGCAGCATAGCGCTGTTTCACGATTAGGATAGCTTGGATTCGAAGCCCCAGGTGGAGATTCTCAGCCGAATGGGCGGAAGGCATCACGTAAGACTTCGGCAGTCTCGAATCATCACGCATGCTACCCAGACAGAGCTGTTTGGCTGTCACATCGATTCTGTCCGTATATTCAGACTGCATATGACCCAGGAAAATAAGCACTTTGGACTTGTATCTGGATACTGCACCTTTGGGTTGTCAGTTAACACATTTAACTTTTACTGTGTTGCCGCATTTTCCTGATAACTGTCTGATTCCGAGCTCATCGAACTTCTGGTCTTCACCAACAACAAATTAAGCCACATCATCATTGATACTGAAAGTTTAACCCTCTTGCGAGTTTTGCAAGCACCGAAATAAATGGTAATCTGATGATGCAAGCTCTAGGCTACGTGGAGGATGCTGCGTTGCTTCTCAGCCTGGATTCAATAAGTTTTCACAAGTTGTCAAAAATGTGTGGAGCCAGGCATCGACTCTGTGGAACACAAGTTCCTCTGTGATTTGTCAATTGTGGCTTTTTGTCTACAAGTCCTTCTTTCGCCTTCATTAGCTGATGGCAAACTCTCATCTAATCATTTCAACCATTGGAAGCAGCTAAAAACACACGGCACCCTTGTGATCCCATCAAAGTAACAGCATGTTCTGCATTGGAGGCAATTCAGCACTCGATGTGTTTTGTGCTAGTTCATCACAGACCATGGTGGTTGTCCACTGACGCCATAGCAGACCATCCACCTTTTACCACGAGTGATGATTTGAGTCAAGCCCAGATTGCTTTCTTGCCAAACCTACTCGGTGCTCTAAGCGGACTCGTGTCAAGAGTAAGTCGATCAAAATTTCCAATATTTATGTCCCTGCGTTTTCTACAGTTATTCAGATGTGACATTATCTACTAAAATGCATTTAAAAAGTATCCGAAGAACTGCATTTTACCCTTTCTATCAGAGAATCACAAGCCGTACTTACTAACACACAACTTAATGCAAAATTTCGAAAATACTAAACTGAAGAGGAAATCGCTGAAATATTTCTGTGGTAAGTGTTTGTAGAATGATTTACCACTAAATTCCTCGACCATATTTCACTGTTCGTCTATGTTGGGTATTCACTTTCGAATGCAAACTCTTTAATCCATGAGGTTGATTGCTAAAATATGCCATTAATATAGTGAATCAGGATAAAATATAAAATATCTGCTAATCTAAGTTAATTCTTTCATACTTAAAATGCATTAGAATGATCCCATGTAAAACTATCCCGTGGATGCCTTATCAAGCGCTATACTCCACTTAAAAGTAAAATGGTGAAATCGCGAACCACCATGAAGGCACAGAAATCTGCGGTCTTGCCTATCGAAAACCAAAAGGTGATGTGCTTTGGGAGAAGCATCATGCACCTAATCCCTAGCTTTTTCCAGCATCCCAACAACAATCGACGAGGCCAGGTCTGATGGCGTGCAGGTGCGCATGGGCACATAAATGTGCGCACGTGTGTGCGCACACACGCACAAGCACACACGCGCATCCACCGAATGAGTCACCCAACCATCTGGGTCGTGATTAGGTGGGGGCGTTGGCTCCACCTTCACCTTTGCGCGCACAATCGCGAAAACAGTAGGGGAGGGAGGGGTGGAGAGATTGCACACAATCCACACCTTGCATTCTGCAATGGCCTGGAGGGAGTTTTGCCTACCCGGCCTAATGTGCCTTTCAGGACAAGATGTTATAGACACAGGCTGGGATGTGTTTCACAAAATAAATTGATAGATGGAGATTGCAGGGAAAGATCAAACAATTAAACTTGTGGTTTAGAAAGCAGAAAAATCGGGAAACCTGAGAATCAGAATTGACCTAAACAAACTAGTTGCCATCATTTGTGCATGAATTTGGCATTCCAAGCACCCCTGGGCATGCCAAGCTTCGAAATTGAAGATTGGACACAACTTCTCGACAAACCCGATTGACCACGGCAGCATCGGGATCCATGTTTACTCAGTCAACGCCTTCTTGAGCTTAAATCTCTGGTTACGAAGTCACTGGATGATTGGACTTTTGAATATAGTCAGTAACAACCACGTAAATGCTTGCACTTTCGAATGCCAACATTAATTATAAATTAAATCCCGCTGCTAAACGCCATCGTTATGGAATCTTCGCCATACATTTTTGAAAAAGAATTTGTCTTTGATGTGTTTAAACATCAGTGTCGTAGTTCTTTCGATTTGTCGCTGTAAGTCTAGGTAAAGAGACACATCGTTATAACTGTACCCTTAGAGGTACATTGACACCAGGTAGTCCAGCTCCTCTGAAACCATTAAAGTTAAGTCTACTTCGACAATTCACACAAATTTACACCAGTGACAATTATCTAACACTAATCACCCAAGTCAGAAAGGTGCAGCAGCCTTTTGTCAAGACTTCAATGGATGTTTAAATAAAATTCTTCTCAATTTGGCACAAAGAACTCAGGCATCTGCAGAAAACGTGGAGCATTTAGCGATTCAAATAGATGCATTGGGCTGGATACACAACATAAGAGAATAATGAAATATCCGCGTCAAACGTAACGCGTGAAATTGTCACCTTGAATTAAATCTGCGACATCAAATCGAATGATCGGTAGTAATAAGATAAGCACCCCTTCCCACTTACAGAATGAATGGCCGCGAGTGTGTACAAAAAGTAGGCATTGATGACCGCAACAAACCTGATATTTGATGGGAGAAAAAAGTCTAGGGAGGAGGATGCAATGTATCACCTTAAAAAGCCCTAATAGAAACCATTCATCGTAGCAAGACCTCACAGAGCCAGGCCTTTTGATTACATCAAACGGCTGGTTTAGTGAATGTAGCTGATTATGTCCTCCAAAGGAACCAGTGTGCAAAAGACAGCATCAGACGGTTAAACCTTTGGAGTAAGACCAGTCATGCGGAAACCCGAAACTGGCCGTTAATGCATCAGGAAGGCAGTGCATTACATTTTTCCACTTCCCATAATATTATGCTCTATGTTAAAAAGGCGAAATTGAAAAAAATCACTTATTATGCGGCAGCACAGAAATGCATTTTTGTGTCCTATGAGAGGATAAAAGGGTTCGGCATGAATTAAGACATGGGTAAAGGTGAGGGATCTTAAAGCCCTCGTGCCGCCAGGAGCACCAATCATAAAAACGCCCTTTTGTTTCGGTAATTGAGCTGCAAGAATGAAATCTGATGAGCTTCTTCGCATTTCCTGGCAAATTATACACAGATTGGAGCGACGCGACTTGAATAGGGTCGGCTAGAACCGGCACAAAGTCAAGACTCCGCTATTGTCATGTGATTCAATGCAACTAGGCTTACGTACATTGGTTGCTGTGCGGGTAATTACCTTCTCTACAAAAAACACCGAAATGCTTTGCGAAATTCCGCACCGCCTTGATATCAAGATGGCTGTCAAGAACACAAGAAACTTTACAAAGACGATCAGTTAACGTGGACCCTATCGTTATTTGCGACACAAAGTGCGCGCAGAGGTGATTATAGGCTGAATACATGATTACAACATCTAGAGAAACATCAGTAGGAAATTTGTTTGAGAAATAGGGGGCGTTACATAGGCCCAGATAAAAAGGGGTGTTCAGTAATTTTTCTCAATCGTGCATTCCAAATGCATTATGTTAGATGAGAGCTATCAAACCGTGGTGCATCAAGTTTCTGGGCAACAACTGCAACAAGAATATTCTTCCTAAAACTAAATATAGCTTAAGCGATGAATTTACTCTGTTAAAATTCTATGGCACAGTAATCCTAACTAGGAGAGATTAGCAAGAAAGGCAGAATCCCGAAACCTACCGGGAAATCTACGTTGTACCTCTGGATAATATGTGTGGCAACAACTTCGAGGCTAGCTCCAGCTACACGGTAGGTTTTGCTCACTCCATCTGGTGATCGAACGACTTGAACAACGAAGCGCCTGTCTCCCCCTCTTACGGAATTCCATGTACGAAGCATTACAGCTACTAGGTGCAGTAAAAGGAGGGTATCTGTGAAAGTAAGCACAAAGCTGGCAAGGCCGGAATAGGAGGTGTTGGCAGGACCACTCTGGTCGGAGGCGTCAGACGGATGTGTCAGGGAGGCCGGGATGCCAAACTGAACATGGAGGTCCTGTGATACAGCGGAAAGATGGTCTGGTCTCGTTCGAAACATCCGTCTCATCCAACGTGCCACAAACGCCACCCAAAATGCACAGGTGGCTCCAACGCCGAGAAGATTCACTGACAGTGTGAGTCCAATCAAACGCTCAGTAGAAGGGAAAGGATGAAGGCAGGCGGGATCAAAGGGAGAAAAATCTAGACTGAAACATCCAACCGCCCGAAACTTGCGGTTAAGCAGTGCGGAGACAGAAAGTGGTCGGATTCGTAACCTACGGCATACGCTGACAATTGGCTGGACGTACAGCTTCCATGTGGTTAAACATAGTAATAATGTTTTGATGGAAATTGACAGCAGGTCCGCTTCACAACGAACATTGCAATTATGTGCAATGGGGAAGGCTGAGTAAAACGGTGAATGCTGAGTGTCCATATGGTCCAAAGAGAGGATTAGAGGAAGCAACAGCATAAAAATAGGCGACAAAAGGCAGGCAATGGCCAACAGGCAAATGAATGAAAGACCTATAATTCCACAATTATTAGGACTAATGGGGCGCAAGTGAACTTGTTCACCGTCTGACCACTGTTCCTCCTTTTGTGAGGCTAAAAGGTTCGCACCAAACATTCCAGTTATGGGTTTTCGTCTGCGAAGCACTGGAGAAGAGTTTGAACTGTGATACCAATGCTTTTTCATGGAAGGTAAAGAATTGGTATGACCGCATTCAGTGACATGGGTCCATGAACTTCCATGGGAATGATCCCAGTTGCAAGATGGCGAATGAGTCCTGGCGCCCCGTTGTTCTTCACTTCGACGTCGACTCCACCTGTGCTTCTTATGCCTCCCGCCGCCTTCCCTGCCGTCCACTTCGCCCTCAGACATGCAGTGAGTAGATTGTTGTCGCCTGCGGTGGCGCCCGAATGAATGCCTATCATCCCTTTCATCAGAAGATCGTCGTCGTCGACCACAGTACTTTTTATCCCCACTGCCAGTTGGTTCGAGTTTTTGTGAGGCTACACAAACAATAGTTACGTCCTCAGCGTCTGCTGTAACGGCGCGCGTTCCATTTTCACAAACCGTTCCTTCATTTTCCCGAGCATTTTGCTGGGCCTGATAACTATCTGCACAACTAAGTGTGGTGCTGCTACTTTCATTCTCAAACCGGCCTCGTCCTGTCTCGTGATGTTGGAGAAAGACTCCACGTGCATCCTGACGCCAACAATTTGCGACAGTCTGATTGGGGACTCGATGAATTACAGTGACCTAGAAACCATTTAATTTGGTACAAATAGGGCCCTACCTCGGAGCCAAGATAGGTGACGTCGTCAAATTGTTCAGATACAGGAGTGTGAGTGTCTGGAGGAAAAGATGTTGCAGGTGGCTGCAGTGTTGGTTCTTCCTGGATAGGAGCACCTGGCTCAACCTGGACACCAGGCATCTGTGGTGGAGGTTCAAAAAATGGTTGATGAAACATTCCTTTACCCCCAAGTCAATAAAAGAAATTCAGCGGACGACAATCTAGAAAGATGAAAATGATGTCATCAATAAAAACGAAAGCGTTAGATTTGGGGAATAATAGGCAAACCAAGCTAAAAACGTGTGATTGATCACTGTGACTTTCATCGGTTACTTCCTAGCAATTTAACCCAGGAAATGTCTCTGGCTTTGTAATAAGTTCAACAAACTATAATAGCAAAAAGTTATCTAAACGCTCGACTCCAGAAAATTGAGCATAAAATGAAAATAGAAAGTTTTCTTACAAATCATTTAAAAACAATTTCGCAAGTAAAATTTTCGGTTATATTACAACTGGCTACAAATTTATTTCTCATTTAAAGGCCAACGTTCAAACACTTATCAAACATGCCTCGATTCTATTTTAACAGCATCGACGTAGACGCCAGAATATGAAGATTCAGTATTAAGTATTTAGTTTATAAGAGCAAGTCTACGAAAAAGGTACCTCCAGATAATAAACGACACATCGTCTGATGATACTGCTTCAACTATTAGTGTAGCGAAAGAATCAATAATACTCGGATTTTCGAGAACATGGATTTCTTTCATAGACATGATGGACTATGCTTGAAGTACATAACATTCAAGAGGCAACGGTGCATATTTCTCCGTCTACCTACGATTCTGGCAGCCAAATTCACCGCTTCATTGACTTGATTTATGAATTTCTGATACCCGAGTTATCATCAGAATAGAAAAGGAATTCTCAAACCAAAATCTTGGTGGTTCAATTGGGCAAACCAATGTTGGCTTCACAAAGGGTGAGTGAATCAACAGTTCGCAGAGGCATCATAGTCATAACGCAATGGTGTATAAAAAATATCAGTATTACAGATTATCACCAACACACAATCAACCCAATAGTTCTCGTGAAGGATTTTACAATAAAGACACCATGTGTGCAATCCGCACCCGAATTTTTGCCGACCGGCCGCAAATTCTAATCCGATCGAAATGTCTGACAACCAGCTGTCGAACATTACTGTATGCGTTTATATTAGAAAATCAAACCATGTTGACCCCATCTTTGATCCAAAGAAGGTATAGGTTGAAAATTTATGTTACTCAAGAGTAAGTAACTCGGGTAAGTGGATGCTGAGACACTCTCAGACTATAAAGAAAAACGACAAAAACTCATTATGGAACACAGTTAATAGGCAAGTCCAAACTCTTAGGCCGCAACAATCTATACCTACTTTAGTGGCGTTTGCAATTTTGACGACCAGTTCAGTATTTTATGGTTTTAAGGAAAAATTACTTTGGAATCATCGCCCTCTTTAATTTTGAAGTACAAGTCCCACGTCTTTTCATTTAATGCACTTGATATTCGGACCTCAAACCTAGCACTGCTAATTTCTCAAACAACAACAACAACATAATCACTTCAGCAAGGTTTTGCTTTCAGTAACCTCTTAAAATTTGGAAGGTTGCCTGAAACGTTAATCACGATAAAACTACAGACACAAAATAACCAGTCTTTCGTCGTGTTGCAAAACAATTCTTACTCTAAAAACACACACAATTAAAATAAACAAACTTAGCTCTGCAGATCACAAATCTTATTAAAAACGTCATTGATTTCTAATTGGTGGATCGTAACAGGGCTAGTTCAGGTGAACTAAACTTGCCTGAAACCGCTTCAAAAGTAACATTAATCGAAACATACTCTTGATTGGATTGGTAACACATTCCACAAATAACTACTCATTTTCATTTTGGATTATTGTGAGAAGAGTGTTATGGATGATAAAAATACTTTTATTCGCAATTTAAAACTTAAAAGACGTAAGAACGGTCGAGGCTTTAGTTCAATGTCACCATACGCTCAAATAGGCTAACCATCGAGAACATATAACCATGACCAATCACAGACTATACCTATATTAAAGATTTCGAGCACTCGTAGTAGCAGGTCACAGATTTTGTTCTCCCTATTATGGTTTACAGCTTATAACTACATATTTAAATGACTAAAAAAAGCAAATGGTCAAAATTGCGATAGATGTTTAACACAGAAACCTCACATGAGCAATCGCCCAATTCACAAACCCGCGGATTTAAATTGCATGTCAAGGTTGAAAGGGCTCAAAGAAAGCAGTTTAACACTTTAAACAAAGCCAGAGTTCCTAGAATTAAAAATTTAAGTAAGTGTATATTTTAAAAAAACTTTAAAATGTTGACCTTATTATTACGTCATTAGAGGCCATAAGATAGGGATACTAAGTCAACCACTATAAAAGCTAATATTCAACATTGTACATTTTAGAAACTGTCCAAAATCTATTCACAAATAGAGCGATTGAAGTTAGTTTTATTATTCAGCATGTGCCATGCAAACAGTAAATGGTACTGGATATCAAACGTTTATATGGAGATTCGTTAGGATAATTGAATGTTACTCCATTTACTTAGCTTCTTAACTTAATTGATTTGCGATCAGTATTTTAGTTGACTAAACAATGTATGTTTCAGGAATTTTAGACTGTTATAAAATTAGGGTGTCATTGAATTTCCCGATGATCTTTACGTGAACAATCACATGCATCAACCATTGTTAGGACTTATACAAATCTGGATTTTTTTGATAAAAACATAACATAGAGCTTGCAAATATTTCTTAATGGATTTGATGTTTTGAGTCTGTGTCAGTTTTGAAGCCTTTAAATTAAGATAAATTATCTCACACATCTCAAGTTATCCTAAAGACGTCCCCAAAAATTTTCATATTTTATGATTGAAATATTTGAGCAGCCTTTCATTCCGCAAAATTTCCCTTGCCTGTAATATTTACTTGGAATTTCTTGCAGAATGGATTAGTTCTAAATGCAAGAAGTCTTATTATTCTATGTATTGATGGTAAAGCATTCAAATCAATTCACTTCACTTTGCATTACGACTTCAGTGTTCAATAATTTTTCCTCGTTTTGAACACGCTTAATTCATAACTGCCACGACCATCTCCACATGCGGTCTCTTAATCGCCCTGTGCAATTTTGTCTTCTACTCTTCGATATACATTTAGACCTAACAGAATCTAGTCCCTTTCATTGAGGCCACCCAAAAATTTAAAAGAATATGCTGGAAACAAAAGTTATATTAATATATTCCACCGTGATTTATAAAAATTTAATCCGAAACAAATAAAAGAAGATTCCGAGCGTTCAATAACGTATACCTCTTATCCTAAATAGTATTGCTAATAGAAAATGAGTGAAAACCCAACTAAAAACATTAAATTAAATGGAATATTTGCTGTTTGTTCATCCAGTGAGCAAAATGTATGTGCTTGCTACGGTTCCCGGAGCACAGGTGCAATAACCTGGACCCCCTTTGTTAGCATGTAATAAGCTTTTAACACTAAAATTCAGAAAACTCTTATAAGTGGTGACAAGACCTTGTGTAGAGAGCTTTCGTCGTGTGATAATGAAGAACAGGAAATTGTTAATATCTTAGGAGATATAGTCTTAGGAATACGAGGCACCCAGTAGTGTTACTTTGTTAGAATTAGAAATAATACAACAGATGACCTAGATCGACCAGGTAAATGTTAAATGTACAAGCTTGTGCAGCACAAACTTTATCTGAGCCACCATGTAATTTTCGGATACCGAGTTTGATTTCATCGACCTTTAATTACCAATTTTGCCGTATTTCTTTTACTTATATGAAATGAACGAACCTCGAACGTCATAATCTATATAGATGACCCAGACATAATCAATTCAATGGGTTTTTTGCAGTTTTTTGACTGTGGGCCACGAATGGACACTGCAATGAAGTTGTTGTGAGTCGCGTTGATTCACACCCGTTAATCCGATCACTCCAGCCCCGAACATAGGGTCACCCTTCGCACAGCACCTCGCCATCCGCTCGAACCCTCAAGTACTCCTCATTAACACGAACATTTATGCTGGATTATCCTCACATCTAGGTCTCGATGTTAGCTCACATATGACACACATCTGAGGTATATATGCACACGCGCAAATGCCACATGCGACACAACGACATGAACGTGGTTGAGCTTTGAAGTAAACGGTTGTGGCCACGTCCTCTCCAGTCTTTTTCTTCATCGAGAGAATCAGGGAAGCGTAATTGGGCAAAATTTAGCCCAGTGGCCCCGACGTTGTTCAAGACTAAATGATAGGGCCCACAAAAAGGTTAACAGTCATTGATCGGGGCAAACATCATCAAACATCATCAAATCAACGAAAATGCCCTAGGGAATTAGGGTACGATCAGGTTGTACTTTGAAAAGGTATTTTCGATTGATGATGCACGTTTCCATGAGATTCATCGCATTATCCGATTAACTATCTCTGATTTCATATAAATACGATTTGAGCCCCATGAACAGCTATGCACGCTGGGATGATCAACAAGGTGAAAAATAAGCACTCGATTTTACGTGAAGTTAACTTACGACCAGAGGGAAACTTTAATGAGCCAAGAAATTGTTACGCAACACATTAAGATGCTCATATAATTTCGGCATGAGAAGCGGTCACCATCTCCAGCAGCTACTCATGGATTTACCATAATTAATTATACCATAAATATTCAGAAGGCAAATAGAGGCTAAGATCAAGCCACCGCGAGGATGATCGTAATGGCGGATTTAATTTGGCGAATGCTAATGACATCTGGATCTCTTCCATCTATTTTAAGGGATTTGTCTGCACGTCACAAACTTCATAGGGGTCGTTATAGAGTAGATTTAGTGCGATACATTATTAAAATAATCAGGACTAACACGTACAACCGGTTAGAAAAATCGTGCTTCCACAATAGTGGGTGCTCTTAAATGGCGCCGCGTACGTCCGGCTAATCGTTTGAGTGTGAGCCAAAACGCTGCAGTCCAAAAATGTTCTCACATCCTTGGAGGCTCCTCAAGTCCTGAATTTTGACGGATGCAAATTGAGCCCCTCACCTAAGCATAGTATTCAAGGGAAACCAAAGAACAACGTATAAATTTAGTAAAGTCTGCCTGTTTGAAGGATCTTTGATTGCAAAGTGCAAAACCTGACGAAAGAATCTGCACATAGAAGATTACAACACTTAAGCTTTTTTTAGCAAATATGCATAATAAGTGTGCAGAACAATTATTCACCACGTTGGGACTACGTGAGTTTTGGTCATCCAGTGAGCATATTTTAAGTGGCGCTTAGTTATAATCAAGATTAAAATATAGATAAATCAAGAATAACATGGTAAATATAGCGATGATTGAATTGTGTTTCATTAAAAAATGTTACGAACGACGCCTCGACTTTCATTTCAGAGCAACATTTATGTCAAGTACTGATGCTGCCAAAATATTGGAACCGAAATCGTTAGTCGACTGTTTCACTTCCAACAGCGTGACCGTTCTCTCCAACATTAATGCAATTTCTGGGTGCATGTAAAACGAGGAGGAGCCTAAAAGACCCCTTCACATTATCATTTTTAGCATTCATAGTATGTAAAGAAGGGCTGACAAATATTAATTCTGCCTCCGCCTAGAGCCTGAGTTTAAAAGGTTCCTTGCAAGCTTGCGTAATCAAGGGAGAGAAGTGAACAGGCGCACACATTACTCGCATACATAGCTTTGCCTTAGGTTTTTCATTTCAATACATGCATATCAATTTTGAACTTCGTTTAGGAAGGCTAATTTACAAATACCTGAGAACTCGATTGGCAGCGATGCTCGCTTTCTTGAGGTAACGGCCAGTTTCATCCACATTTGCATGTAAACTGCGTGTTACGGGTAAGAGAAAAGGGCGCTCCATGAAACATTTCGCATTGTTAACTTTATTAAAGCCTCTACAGAACTGAGACGAGTTTGAGCCTTTTCGGTATCGGTCTGCGGCTCTAGTTTTACTGGTGCCAGTGCCTCCCTTGGTACAGCTTCTCCTAGCCTAATCAATCAAAAGCACCTCCCCCTCCGTTGACCTAATTAATTAAACAATACCTTCAATTCATTAGAAGATACCTTTTAATGTCATGTTGTTCAATAAGCGGTAATAAGAGTGGGGACATAAACTGGTCGACGACCGATCACCCCATAGCATTCACTTTGTCTCTTATTGATACTTTAGTTGATGGTTTTCACCCCAACCCAATGGAATCCTATGGGATGTTCTTGTTCAACGCTAACATTACGGTTACGTGCGAACAAGATCTTCAAAGGCTAAATATCATTTTGACTGTTGAGCCAATAAACGCTGCTAGCTATAACGCTGCATCCTGCGTATCTTCAGCTGATGAGACGGCTCTCGATGCTTACACCGATCCACAGAATTACGCACTGCACAACAGCAAGTACCCAGTAGGTAGTGTACCAGAAGTCAAGGTACTAAGATCATACAAAGCCATATACTTAGATTTGAAAAAAAAACAATAACTAGAAAAATAAACAGGACTGCACAAATTTGAGTCAATGCCGCGAAATCGATTGGGCTTTGCTTGAAACGTCTGAGATTTTTGCATCTAGCTCTTGAATTTGTTGGAGCAGAGCACTCGAGGAGCGAGGTTTCTGTGGGAGTCGGCGACCTGCTACTGACACAGTGATTGGCCGAGAATCGAAATTGCGCGTAATCGTGGCAACTGAGAATTGTGGCCCCAAATCACTAAACACATCCACAGCAGTCAATTCGACGGTAGACGCGGGGGTCGACTCAAGGCACTCATCAGTTAGTAAATCCAACTTCGAACGTATCAGATAGGCACAGAGGGAACCCCAAGGAATCAAAAGGGCGCTGACTCGTCTCCACGTCTCACAGCCCTGTAAAGACAATTTGCAGCAACGAACCAAGGTCTGAGGAATCTGCGAATCGAGAAACGAAAGCCAGTGTTTCAGGCCCTCAGTCCAGGAGGCACAAGGAGGGAGGGGTTCAGGAACCGGAGATATAAAAACGCTGTTGGGAACTAAATCTCGTAAGGGATCCAGGCTTCGATTGTAGGCGTCTAATATATAGTGAGGGTCCTAGGACAACAAAACATTGAAAAATCGCTCTTCTTGTAGTTAAAAAAGATGAAAATTAGAAATCTAACGCCCAATACTATAAGTGTAGTTGTGCACGTCGGCTGGTACAGCCTGATAAATCAGCGTAAATTCAAAGTGTAGATCTCAAGCACCATCGGATATGTTTTGGGATGCAGAACTGGCCACTTTATTGAAGTATGTATTTTTTCGTTAATTCTAAAATTTGACACCATTTCTTTACATTAATGAGTGCAAGTCATGTTGGGCACTTGCTTCGTCGCGTTTTTTAGCAACCAGTGTGGCTTTGGTGACTCAAGAAGCGAAACACTTTTGTAAGGTAAACCAACAATAATTACGATGTGACTCATTCCTACAACGAACAAAACGAAGTAACTAACTAGGTCATAGACAAAAACATTAAGATTTACACACACTTATCACCGCCCAGAGAGACCACGTAAAAAGTTACAGGGTAACTTACGGGATCGGTAATTCCCATTTCCTTCCACTGCTCAATCCATGATAGCAAAGGCTTCAGGAAGTTGGTTTCAACCTGGGCCACCACAATGTCCATCAGGCTTTTAGGCCTGCTCGAGAACCAAGATGATGATGCCGCTGTCAGCGGCGCATTCTCCACTTTGGTGGCAGCCTCAGCTTTATCATCCCTCACCTTTTCCGCAAGCCACTCAATGCCGTCTTGGAGGAGCACGCTCCAACGGTAGGCCATGACGGCGTTGCGGTTGTTGTCTGACAGAGGAGGAAATGAGATACTCTTGATGCTGCTCAAAGTTTCGCCAGGGTCACGAATACCCCGTGGGTAAAGATGAAGTTGCGGAATGGGCAGGGGCGTGATAATGTCGTTGTTGGAAACGACAACAATGAGGCCTGCTTCGTGCCCAGTAAGTTGGTCCATGAACGAGAGGGTAGTAAATGTAATGTTGGTAGGGAGTTTGGAGAGAAGCCAGCTTGAGAAATGAGGCGCCGTGGGGGAGAGAATCACACCGAGGCAAACGTTGTCGGGGAAACTGCAAATGGGACCGAGCGGCTGCCACGCAAGTCTGAGATCAATCTACGAGAAAAAAACATGTCCTCGTTCTCTTCAGTTCCCAGTCAACAAATTACTCCCATTACTCATTGGGGTTGAGGACAACGAAGACCACTCAAGCGGCACCAAGGAAGTGCAAAACATTACTTAGCGAGTTCCGAGAAAGTGTCCAACAAGAAATGAATTTACATTCGCCGAAAAGTGAGAATCCCATGCTCGAGCAAATTCAAATTGAAACAAAACTGTGGAAAATCAACCCTGAATGAGCTTGCCATTGATGAATGGAATAATACAGCGCTACCGGATAAAAAAAGTTGAAGTGCTATTCAAACAGGCACCTAATCACGACACCAAACATTTAGAATAGCGGCTCTCGGGCAGAAACCTTAGATCTTCAAACCTCATAAGAGTTCATTATGGCCAACAAGCGGACAATATGGATACCCTACTCCTATTCTTGTGGACAGCGACGATGCGACAAATAAGTGCAACTTACCTCGTCATTGTCGTGAGAAAAACGGGATCGTTTAAGGGGATGGTTGACTCTGTCCGAGTCGCCACAGTTGTCGGCACCGATGCTCTCCAACCAATTTCTTCGGCAACCCGAGCTCTGTTCATCGTGAGCATAGCCGATAAGGAGTTGAGGAGCGGGGGTGGCGGGTATTGAGAGGATCAGATTACGAACACGAATCTCACGTCGCTCTTCACTGAGACGAAGTTCGTTCCAAGCAGTAAAAGTGCGGGCTAAGAGTCGTAGCCTATTGAAACGCTCAATGTGGGCCTTTTGGAAAACCCGAAAGACGAGACTCTCCAGTACCTCTGCGAGAATGTCCTCATAGACACTCTAAAGTGGGAGTTCGGGAAAAGGTGTAATTACTATACCCCACAGACTCTCAGATCACAATTAAATGCTTAGCTTTTTAAACATTTGGAATATCCCTGTGTTTCCGGTTACGAGGACAGCAGTCAAGGCAATCCTACAGTGAATCCATATGCGTTCCACCAAAATGCAAACACTCGACGCGACATAAGTCAGACTGATTTCTCCGATTGTCAATAAACAGCCAGGCATGCGATGTACGCTCCTGCGCATGTCATAGGTGATCAAAATTTTTAAAAGTCGTATCGGAAGTCCAATGCAACGCGACGCACTACTCTGTAAATCTGAACTGCAACTACCCAGAATGCCAATGGCCTCTCCGAACAGACGGATGCTGTTGTTGTTGGGAAGTGGTCGCAGTAAAGTATTCGTGCAGTAATGAACAAGTCTGATTCTATGTATTTAAAACAATGAACCTCACGGAGCCATAACTTGTTAACAGAAATAGTCTGACTTTTATAATATACCTAACAGTCCAAATAAAATCAGCACTTTTGAAAGTAATTCCTCAATCACGTCTGATAAATGGTCTGGACTTTTGCATTTTTTCGTCAAGCCCAGTAAAACTAAACCGACTCTACGGCGGTTTCGAAAATCGTATTAGACTATCTTGCACGAATTTCGGTCTAAATTGCACAATAATGCCAATGAAGATCATAAAGATTATTATAGTAATTTGAATAGGATAATAGCCGTCCTTACAATACAGCGTTTTTGACATTGCGGTTAATTCACAAACGGGACGAAGATAGATCAAAGAAAAGCACCTACGAAGATTCGAAATTAAGCGGCAAGTTTTGCTTTAGAAACAAAAAACCCTTTACGAGAACGCTGACCGCCGGAAAAAAATGCGTCATCACAAGAGTGGGTTGATTTGCGTGAACATCCAGGACAGAACCGGGACACCACTACTGGTAACATGCTGCTGTGGAATCTAAGAAAATAGGAAACCTCTCCACTTGACCGCTACGATGGGCAGCCTCAAGTGCTGTAGAGATTGAGTAAAATAGATTACGAGATCCCGCCAAGGAACCCTCGTGTAAAGTACAATATGAAGAAAGTGTAAGTGTTTCCCATCTTGGAATCAAATCGAATAGGGACGCAGAACGAAAGAGCAGATACTTACCAGAGCAACTTTCTCGTCAAGTGTATCCGAAATAATTGCGGAAATTGAACTACACACAAAGTCTGCAATGACAAGGTCGGCAGCTTCTTCAATGATAGACGACAGACAGTTTGAGTGCGACTCCGCTGCCTCTCGGATAATCTGACAGGACAAAAAGTGTGGATGGACAAAAAGGAAATGAGGCAGAAAGGTAAGCAGAGGAAAACCATACTTCTGTTACACTTGAATTGACAATTTCCTCAAGAAGAGCATCAGCGACATCCTCGGTGACTTCCTCTTCACACACAGCCAGTGACGCGATGCTGCGGGTCTCAGTGTCCACCATTTCATTAATCAACTCTCCCAGCGCCTCTAAGCTCGCCTCCTCTGAAAACACTTGTTCCGAAGGGGTATTGGGCCCAGAGCCAATTTGGAAAGAGGGTTTTCTAGGGTTGTCAGCTGGTTGGGTGCCAGCCGCCGCTTTTTTTTCAAACAGCGGCATGGAAGGCTTCGGGTCAACTGGAGGCGTCGCAGTGAAGCCGGTCGTTGTTGATGTGTAGTTCGAGCAACAAAGACCGTTCTGGACTTCTTCTTCTTCGGGCATAAGTCGACCATGTGAATCAAAGGATGAATGAACTGGATCCGGTGTGGCGTAGGACGAGTCAGTGGGACCGCCATTGAAGAGATCTGCCAGAGTTTGACCCGCACGCTTGTCTTCAATCAACTAATCAGAGACGCTGGACAATTAAAATACGTCTTTTGACAGTTGTACAATAATGAAAAGACGACGTACCTTCGGCGCCCTTCTTTCGTGCCACGCAAACTCGGGTTCACGAGGAGGCGACTGGCGTTGAAAAATGAGATCATCATCAGACACTAGTAGGTTCCAGTGTTCACAGAAGGCCTTAGCATCAGTGCGTGATTCGAAGGCAAGTTGATGTACAAATGTGGACAATGGAAACTAAAAATGTGAAGAAGGTATTCGTAAATACTACAATTGCTCAACACCTCTTTAGCCACCTAAACACCTTGACCGTTATGTTAATGAGCAAGGGCATTGATGAGAGAGCAGAAATGAGAACGGCTGTTTGGTCTCGAAGTGAAATGAGACAAAGAGTACAAAAAACGATATTACCCTCATTGAGTCGACTGTTGTAACCACGAAAGAGCGTATTTCGAGCAAACTGCAGTGGTGACTCTGTGATGACAAGAGTAAAGAATCGCAGACTCACGCCGACTTCGTGTTTGGGGTGCCTAGAGAAGGCGGCAGAGAGCGCGAAGAGGGCATGCGATCGAACTTGACTGAAGTAGCGGTGAAGGAGACAGGCCGTCAGGCAGTCGGAGGTGCGAACCAAGCGAAAGAAGCGGACGTAGTTGCGCTCTGTCACGGCGGAGTGGATTGCTATAGCAAATTGCACTTCCGGTGACTTACGTAAAGCCTCGGGAAACTTTTGTACTTCACTATGGGGATAACACGAGATTTTTTGAATAAATATACGTAACAGGTAAGGAATTAAGCAACACGATAAAAAATGGTACAATGGAAGAACATTGCTGGCTATTAACCATATATAGCCATTTCCTTAGATGTTACTTGCTCTAAGTAGACTTCTATGCAGTCCTCATCAATCTCGAAATTATTTCTACGATGGACTAAGACGTCAATAAACCATAATAGAGACGTTTTGAGGCTTAGCGTGAGTTAGAAAATGCAAAAAAACACAACTCAGCGTTTTACAAAGTAAACAAACTATTTCCGATGCTGTGCCCTGGCTTACTGACACAAACTGTTGGCAAAAAGTTGGTTATTTAACTTGAGACCTCGTCTAGTCGATACTTTGGGTCGGTTCACAAAACACCAGCAGAAAACGGTACCATCAAGCAGCAACAAAAATCAACGGTGAATCTAAAAAGTCGCTTGCTGACAATCAAGTGTCTTGCTATCGCAATGTGCTTGCGTGCCTCTACATGGGATGGAATCGACATTGGATCGCAAATTATCAAGTAGTGCGACTTTGTGAATCAAAAACTCCCAGTTTGGACTTAAAGTTTGGGCTGAAAATGTCTTGCTAGACAATGAACCTACTGTAAGCTAACACAAATCCGACTCAGTTTTGCTAATCAGAAAGAAACCGAACGACATTTTGGCCCTGACGTTTAGTCACTTCTGTTGACAAATATTTAAATGCAACTATTTCTGAGGAACTAAACCATTGCAACCAGAAACGACAAAGTAGCCCGCAATAACTTGCCTGGTAACAATAGATGTACGTATTTGTTTTCTCGTGACATTTGAGCCATTGAATGTTTTCTAGTTTGCTAGGCCCTGGTTTGACCTCTAAGAGATAGTCCCGTTTAAAATATTGCCAAACGAATCGACTGTGGCGGCTAGTTAGCGTTACTTTAACACAAAAACAAAACCAAACTAAGGTTATGGCAGCTTAAAGATTGTGCGAAATTGACCGTGCAACTAGCACGAGGAGTTGAGAGACTGACATACAAATACGCGAGTCCGTTAGCAATTTGAAGAGTATGCATGAGACAAACATATCCAAATACCTGGGGGATTTTGACAGCAGTTTAAGCGAATATACAGTTTGGAAAATACAATACTAGGCTTACTCGAGCACAGAACAGTCGTTTAATTTCATGAGTATCATGTAGGCACGGAATTCTGGCTCGCAAAGGCATTGATCCATTACTGCTCCTCCCTTTCTCAAATCCCCATAGAGTTCTTTAAGTGTTTGTAGGCATTGAGTAAGATTCTCCGAGTTGATTCTAGGATCGAATGCGTCCATTGACTGATCCACAAGACGAGCCGCACAAAATATGTGAAAGCGAGTGATTTTCTCAACAATTGAAACAACGGTTGATGAACACAGGCGCTGTTGGGTGATGTCCTTTCGAATCGCACGCGTCCGTGTCCACAGAAACTCATACCTAAGGAAACCGACAAAGGAAAAGGCTCAGATAAAACTAGAGTTTAATTAGCATGCATAAACACATTAATAATGCATAAGCCAGGTAGAAATTACCATGGTTTCCAGAGGTTACCGCTCTGGTCGAGCTCTGGGCGATCTGCAATGGCGGCCAAGAGGTAATTCATGGTCCGTTGCAGAACCTCTGGGGGCCGCAGTTCTCGTGGCAAAGGTTCTGCCTGGTCAGCGGCTGAACGACTGTAGTCTTTTACTGCTTTCTTGTGATCCATTTGCCAGAGAGACGAGGAGATTTCGCTGTTCAGGCACTCAAACACAGAGACCCGTTGGCGCAATTCGCGGAAGTATCTAAAGGACCATTACAGGGAATTCAGGGGGAATTGTGGCTTGACGACTTGACCTAGACTCTTTTTAAAGGTAATCTACAAATGTTACGAAACGTCGCTGAGGTTAGCTTACAGCACATAAAGGTTGGTGGTCAGATAACAAATAAACAGAACAATGCAGGTTAATAACACAGAATAGTAAAAAAAACTATGATATAAATTTAAATTTTAATGGCTTTGCAATGTTCAGCCCAAAGTGGCTTTGTATAAGTAGCATCGGATCCCCGAATTTTGCACAAAAATTGGGCGGATGATAAAAAAAGCCCAAATGAAAGGAAAGCAGTGATTTCGAGTGTATCTAATTACGTTAGACATCCAGGCAGAAATAAAAAATAGCTTTGACCATCGACTTCAACAGCGATGCATGAGGTAAAACTATGGCATCAGTGGGTCCGAGAACTTTCGAAGGAATGACTAGTTGTGAGGCGCAAAGCAGTGAACGGGCAAGGAATAGAGAGAGGACACATGTCCGTTGTCCTTCGTAGGCGTTTTGAGGAAGCAAAACACGTAGGCAGTGAGGGTTAATAAAAATTAAAACTGCCGTGAGCAGGTGGAAACCCATTATTAAAAGCGTTCAGTCAAGAAACTTGGTGACTTAAACGGTCAACTTTTAACGACTGTGTTTTTTAACTTAAAATAGATTACGGCTACCTAAAATACTATCTCCAAACATAACAAACGCATTTCCTCTGCCTGGTAATGTTGCCCTACACATTATAAAAAAGAATATGAGAATGGAGGGGAAAATAGGGGACCGAAAAGACCAATTTTACATAAACTATTTCGACAGAAAAGCAGTCATTGTGATCGCAAGCTTTTTTTCCACCAAAAATGCAGAAAAATGGTGCCGTGCCAGAAGTCCCAAAACCATAAGCCTAACGTGGTCAATGAGGCTCAGCGACATCCAACCAAACAACAAAAGAAGAAGAGACTTGCCTCTCGGTTTCAGGGCACATATCACGGCAAGTCCCCGAAATAGCCGACTGTCTGGACGAGGATCGACTGGTGAGCCGAGGGCGACCGGATACAGTCTGTCTCCTATCATGTTCCGCCCTATCCCTTGCTTCCAACACAGCTAGACGCTCTAGTACTGTTGATGCGGGACCCATAGAAGGAAGATTAGGAGATTCTTTGGAAGGGATCTAAAGTGTAAATTAATCCGAAACCTCAAAATTGCTGCAGTAAGAAACAAAAACCGGTGTGAACTAGACGGGCAAGATTAAAAAGAGAAGATCAAATGAAAAAAAATAGGGTAAAACATAACTAGGGAACTGGACAGTTTCCTTACACGGAAAAAATTTGGAAGTGATGAAGAGCTTTTAGGTGATATGGAGGACGTTAGCCCACTCGTTCGGCGAACGCATTTCCCGAAAGATGCCACGACACCAGGAATCAGTTCTGCTGCTTCTGATTTGGCTCTCTGAGCGTCTACCTAAAAATGGGAACCAATGCCGTCAACTAGGAGGACATCGGTACATCAAAACATCAATGTTCAGAAGTAACCTACATGGCTAGAAAACGCGACCAATGCAACGCCTACAGACGGCTGACAAATTATGCGCTCAATTTTCCCGAATCTACTAAACAGCTTGCTTAGATGAGCTTTCTGGTTCATGTTGGGAGATATGCGACTCAACTTGACTGCAGTCAACACTTCCCGTTGAGGAGTCTGCTGTTTAGCCTGTCTGGGTGCAAGGGAAGGTTTCTGTTCGCTACCAGGAGACGCTTGTTGGGAGGAATTTTCTGATCGTTGGAAAAGTCCCATTTGATTAGGAGTTAAGGACAAATTTACCGAAACAGGTTCAACAGGTGATATTTCTTTAGCTGTAGTAGAGTGCTGGAAAGGCCTTATTGAAAACGAGTCAGCCTGATCTGACATCCGGGTTTTCAATCCGGAGAACAAGGTAGGCTGTGAAACTGTATCATTGGTTGACTTGAAGAGACCTGTGGGTGGTGAAAAAATGCTGGCAGATGATTCTTCGGAGGCAAATCTTGGAGTTGTTAAGGCATCTCTTTGTTCGATTTCGAAATGAGGTTCGTTGGAGGCAGGACCACTATTGCATTTGGCCTCAGATGAAATAACGGAAAGGCCAAAAAGACCGCATGATTGTGTGGAGAATTTGGTCGTTGGAAAAAGGCTCTTCGGTGTTGTGGGTTCGCAAAGGTTCCCAAAAAGGCCTTCTCGACTTTGTGGAAAATCTAAATATAAAATAGTAGAGCCCATCACACTTTTCTATACCTAAAGAGCTTTAATACTTGTGACAGAACCCACACAGTGTATTAGATATAAGCATATGTTACAGTAAGTTACTAAAATTGCTACAGATAAAAGATTGAACAAGAGAGAGGAAGCGCCAGAAAAGTCATAGCTCAACAATTTCATTATTACAGTAGGAGCGCAGTTGTAACGGGTGCGATCAAAGCACCCCAAGGCATTGGCTTACATAGGAAAGCTTGGCTATTAGAACGCCCGTTAATTTATGTAAATATTTAAGTAGCCTTATTTGTGAGTCTCCCTATAGCTGAACATCTTGACATTTGGAAGGGGAGATATTGTCTCTAGCACATGAAATTTAACCAAATATTAGTTCACTTTACATATTTTGAAATCGCATACATTCCAAAAGGCCTATTTACTTACCTGGATTCGAATTTTGGTTCTTATTGAGTGACATGAACGAGCTATGTTGTGTTGT